TGAAAGGATGTAATTACAAGTAAAGAATTTTATCTAGACAAATGAAATTAACGAGGCACATTTTCCCCATAGGGTATCAAAGCAAGTTCCAGAAAGCATAAAATCCCAGTAATGAACATCTGGGCCCCCCATTGAATGGTCGTTTTTTTTAAAGCCTCTAAAATGCCATTTCCTAATGTCTCTCAAATTTGGCAGGGGTGCTGCATTCAAGGCATAGTAGTATTCCAGAAGTTTCCATGTCATTTGGATGGAACACATCAAACTTACAGTCAACAGAGAACTGGCTGGGTCTCCCATTGAAATCAATGGGGGGAAATGGATGGGAATGATAAACCCAATGAATTAATTGCAAATCAGTTATTAAAACACATGAAAAATGAAATGAGCAAATAATGAAACAAAATGAAGTTTTCATAATAAAAATGAATGGAGAAACTAAACTAGCCTAGTTCTTGCACATCCCTGCAATGGAATCGGTGAGTGAATTAGGCATAGCTATTTCAATTTTTATATTTACAAGCATTTTTTACAATGGATAGGTTTCTAGATTTAAACTCATTCTACGTATGTTTGCTTTGAACATTGTGTTAATACAAATGTAGTTGCAACCTCAATTGTATTTTCTCTCTGTGTAATTATTGGACTAGGAAAAAAATTTTGAAGCTGATTTTCAAGGCTAATTTAATTTAAACCTTATTAAATATGTGTTTTAGGACATCAACTGGGTCCCCCAAAAGCTTGAGAAAATCATTCTACTTGGATAATTGCAAGCACTACCACTGGCAGAAGTTCAAAGTATGACTAAAACCAGCTTTAAGAATTGATTAGGGTTTTTTTTTAGAACTAGGCTCCCACTGAGGGTGTTGGTTTTCTTGGCTGTTGAGGATCCATGCAGGAGTTACATGAATTGAAGATTGGAGATGGCCTAGTGAGATCAAGGGAAGATGGCAAAAGAATAAGGTTTCATGTATCAGGAAGCTCAAGGCAGCATAACAGCGTTATTGAATAGGCAGAGTCAAGGTTGCTTATAATTGAACACAATCATCTCAGTTTCTCCCATCATTATTGTTAGGACCTATTAGCAAGAGAAAACAATGTATTTATACAGGTGCATGATGATTAAGCTTGCCATCTCTTAACCCACAAATCTGGGAAAGTTCCACGAATAAATATTTCCTTATCTTAGCACCCACCAAATACTACTAGTCATGAGAAAAGGGTGCATTGGAGGCCAGGTCATTTTCTACAATTCAGTTAACAAAGCATTCTCACAATATGGCCCAAGGTAGTTAAATGTATGTATCTTGAGTCTATAATTTATGTCTTGAAATACAGTTGTCTTAGCCCAAGTACTCCTCTCTCAATATGGAAACAGGTTGATTACCTGTACTAGTATGCTAAAGCTGAGTTTGAGGTGGGGTAGCGATGTGGTATGGGACGCGGGTGGCGCTGTGGTGTAAACCACTGAGCTTTGGGCTTGCCAATTGGAAGGTTGGCAGTTCGAATCCCCGCGACGGGGTGAGCTCCCGTTGCTTGGTCCCAGCTCCTGCCAACCTAGCAGTTCAAAAGCACACAGTGCAAGTAGTTAAATTGGTACCGTTCCAGCGGGAAGGAAAACGGTGTTTCCGTGCACTGCTCTGGTTCGCCAGAATCGGCTTAGTCATGCTGGCCACATGACCCGGAAGCTGTACACCGGCTCCCTCGGCCAATAAAGCGAGATGAGCACCACAACCCCAGAGTCGTCCGTGACTGGACCTAATGGTCAGGGGTCCCTTTACCTTTAAAAAGGTAAAGGTACCCCTGCCCGTACGGGCCAGTCTTGACAGACTCTAGGGTTGTGCGCCCATCTCACTCTATAGGCCGGGAGCCAGCGCTGTCCGCAGACACTTCCGGGTCACATGGCCAGCGTGACAAAGCTGCATCTGGCGAGCCAGCGCAGCACACGGAAACGCCGTTTACCTTCCCGCTAGTAAGCGGTCCCTATTTATCTACTTGCGCCCGGGGGAGCTTTCGAACTGCTAGGTTGGCAGGTGCTGGGACCAAGCGACAGGAGCGCACCCCGCCACGGGGATTCGAACCGCTGACCTTTCGATCGGCAAGTCCTAGGCGCTGAGGCTTTTACCCACAGCGCCACCCACGTCCCCCCTTTACCTTTAAGGTAACACATATCTAAACTTGGTGCCACAGAACATGGGTAAAGTTATTCCTGCCACAAGAGAAAGGCTTCATTTTTTGTTTGCATGATAAATAAACAAAAGGAGCTACAGGTAAAATGCCATTGTACAACAGGGATGAGGAATCTGTGGCCCTCCAGATGTTGCTAGACTGCAACTCCCAACATCCTTGGCAATGGACCATACTGGCGCAGTGGCTAATGGGAGTTGGAGCCCAAAGGTGGCTTGAGGGGCCCAGCTTCCCCAGAAAGGAACGCTTTCACATATGTTTGGAGAGAGTCCAGGCCTACAGCTGAACCTAGTAACCTTGTGACTTCCTGCTTGTTAGGTCAACAGCAAATCTGGAGGCACAGTAATGCTGAGAGGAGGCCCAGATGGCAAGTGATTAGCTGAGGTTGAGATGTGTGGGTTTGGCTGACTTCATTGCATCCTGGTGACTGTGATATCTTTTCGCTCCAAATGCGCTTCACAAAATGACCCCTCCAAGTGATTCATATGGCACCACATTAGGCATGTATTCGAATTCACAGCACATAGCAGCCACAGTGTAGTACAGCAGCTATGCGTGTGTAGTAAGCAGTTGCAGCCATGCTCCTCCCATGTGATGCCTTAGTAACCATATATGCATTAGGACACCTCTCATATGTGCGCTGACAGAAAAAATGGACTTTTCCCAGTTCTGGTAACTGGCAAAGAGGGTCCATTGCTGGCCATTAGACATTCCTGTGGGACAGTGTTGAATTGACGGTGGAGCAGTGTGCTTGCACGCAGTTCTGCTGTTCCTCTGAACTGGGGTGGTTGTGATCAAGGAACAGAGATCTGTAATGCCCTCACCCCCCTTTGAAAGAAGAAAAGTGAGATTCTTGCTGGTGCATCTCAGGAAATTAAGCATCCAGATCTGCAGAATCTTTTTGTTAATATTTTAGCATTTAACCAGTTGCTGGATAACAGAAGGCAGGGATGTTGTCCTCAGACCTGCTTGTGGGTTTCCTGAAGGATGGTTGGCCATTATGAGAACAGGATGCTGGACGAGATGGGCCACTGGCTGTTCTTATGTTCATATCTTCTTATGTACCAGAAGAATTAACAATCTTAAGTCTATGCATGCTAATAGTAATCATCGTGCATGTACTTATTCACTGAATGTATCCATCAAGCAACGTGGCAATGCATTTTCTGAGAGGGGATGCATAGACTTTGTTTAGATGCTCCAATACGGCCACATTCCAAATGCAAACCAATAGCTAAATTAATGTGTTAGCTCTTAAACCAAATTGGTTACAGGATTGAAAGGTCTAAGGGAAATAAGTAATATCCCTCCCTTTTATCATTATCAGTGTGTCTCAGGTGTTCAAGACATTTTGCATTGTCTGCTTTTGAATAAACTGCAGAGGTGTGTATTAAAAAATCATCATCATCATCATCATAATTTATTAGTTATACCCTCGCCCATCTGAGTTCAGTGGGGCTTCCTCTCAGGTCCGTGAGTATAGGATTGCAGCCTAAGTCACCTGAACAATGTGTTGCTGAACTTGTTTGTTTATAATACTAAGCCATTTTATTATCAAGGCCTCCAAAGTGGTGTACACTATCAAAAGCAACACCAGGCACTAACTTGTGTCACTTGTTTTGAGCAGAACTTATTACTCACCATTTTCAAGACATAGTTTGAAAAAGTTAGTTTTAAAGCAAGTCTCTGTCTTGTATCACGTTTCCTTTCCAAAATACAGACCTTCATTTGAGTTTCCACCTCCAGTTGTTGGTATAATGATGGTGCCCAGACTGGTACATGCAAGGATTAACTTTTGAAATGAATGGACACGTTAAATAGATATAAGCAAGCTTTCATCGTTCTGTAACTGATTTATTGATTAAATAAATGATTTGCTTGGTGCAACATGCAAAGTTATCTGTCTTCATGAATACTAAATAACCAACTCCGAAGTAAGTGTCCAATGGTAGAGCTTGAATCTTTCTTATTTATGAGGACATTGATTTCTCTAGGGTTTTCTTTAAAAAGTATTTTTTATTGAATTTTCTCCACATCTCTACATCTCTAGTTTGTGTGTGTGTGTGTGTGTGTGTGTGTGTGTGTTCATAAGGAGAACAATTGTGCCCCCAGACCTGGGAACAATTTGATTTATGGTTTCTCATATAATGTAGAAATACCTCCAACTGTCAATCAATGTTCTGTTATACAACTGTTGACCACAGTGTATACACTTCACTGCTACTAATAAAAGACCCAACAATGACCTTAAAACACTCTGTTGTTAGGAAGATATTTATAGTTGTGGGGATTGAGAAATGGACTTGACTTCAGCTGTTCTGTAGAGCATGGAATGAAATTCCAGCACTTCCACTGACGTAGAATCTGGCAATTGCTGTAAGTTTTGAGAATTCCACTGTCACTTAAAAAGCCTAGCTTCTTCCCAAGCTACTAGTTTATTTTATTCTGGAAGGCTATTGACATTAGGGACCATTCAAACAAGCAATTCTCCACCTGCAGTCTAAAGTGATGCAGTTGCAGCAGCCAGTACTGTGTGCTCTTCCCAACTTAACATGTAGATTAATAACTCCAACATGTAGATCAGCTCAAAAGTGTGCCCAGAAGGAAACTGATTTTGCATTTTCCTTGGGCTGCATATTCTGTTTTCGACAGATGTTTACTTTTGTGTTTTCCCCATTGTTAAACAGTAATAGGGGGCACAGGGCTGAAGGCCATGGTCACCATCTAATTTTAACTGATTGGTGTCGTTTTTCATTTTGGATGCCCTATTACGTCAATGATCACATTTCAAGCAGAGCTTGCCCGTTAACAGGCATAGTCGTCGTGAAGGCTTGTCTGCTGTAGGAAAGAGAATTTCCAACATAGAGCTCACTCATGAGTTTCAGAAGGAGGGAACTATATCCTAAAAAGCCCAATAGTGCAACCTTATGCATGTTTATTCAGAAGTTCGTCCTACTGTGTTCAAGGGAGCTTATACGCAGGTAAGTGTGCTTAGGACTGCAGTCTGTCTTAGAATGCGCAGATAACGTCCATATGCATGAATGGCTCCCCTTTTCTTGTGATAGACACCCTATTTTCTTGTATCTGGCCCCTGGTAATGGCCCACATTTTTTTGCTGGGTGCAGTTCAGCAGCATCTCTAGGGGCAGAGGCTCCTACAGAGGACTGTGCCTACCTCTGTCCCTTCACCCCCAATTCCCCTTTTAAACATAAACAGGGCATCTAAGCCACCCACAGTTTCAGCAGCTAGTGCGTCTTGCCATTAAGTCTCCTCCCTCCTAAGAGGACTTAACTGTGTGTGTGTGGTGTGCAGAGAGTCTTGTGTATTAGCTGCTCAGGCTGTAGGATGCCCTGTTTTAAAAGTTATAAAAGTTTTTTGTTTTTTTTTTGAGGGGAGGGATGAACTCCCTATCCTTCTCCTATTGATCTGATTCATGTCATTCATAGAACTAGAGTAGATTCTGCCTGGCAAGCTTGGTTTTGACTTGTTAAAGAGTATTTTATACCATCCCCCCAGCCAGTGTGGTGTAGTGGTTAAGAGCGATAGACTCGTAATCTGGTGAACCGGGTTCGCGTCTCCGCTCCTCCACATGCAGCTGCTGGGTGACCTTGGGCCAGTCACACTTCTCTGAAGTCTCTCAGCCCCACTCACCTCACAGAGTGTTTGTTGTGGGTGAGGAAGGGAAAGGAGAAAGTTAGCCGCTTTGAGACTCCTTCGGGTAGTGATAAAGCGGGATATCAAATCCAAACTCTTCTTCTCCTGCTATTTTCTAAAGTGCTTTGGGTGGATTTTAAAGGATTCCCCATTAAAATCCACCTTGAAATGTGATGGGAATAGCTTAGTTCTCTCCCCTCAGGGAACTGGGATGGACCCCAACCCAAGATAAATATTTATTGGCCCCTGTTGCCCCCAGTCCCCTCCTCTACACAACTTTTTTAAAAGTTAGTAGTCCTGCCCTCTTATTTTTTCACATGGCTATAAACAAAAGAACGCTGCCTTCTTACCAGATGGGCAATCTGATGAAGCCCAGTGACTTCCAGTGTCAAGGAAGTTGTGGGAACAGGACCTCAAGGTTTACATCCTTCCCTCCCACTCACCTTACTTTCCAAGAAAGCTCCTTAAGAATGGATTTGATGAGACAGAAGGATGGGTACCATTTGGAATATTCATGCTGCCGTGTTCCATGCTGTCATAGTAATGAAGGTCAGGTGGCTCTGGGAACAGAGTTAGCGAGGAAACCCAGCTGAAGCAGCATCTTCAATGGTTCAACCTTTCCCCCTCCCCTCCCCACCTGCCCATTAAAGAAGATTGTCCAAGAGTGATGCTTTAAGAAGTAGCAAGTGGCTTCTGTTGGGGGTCAGTACCTAGTCAGCTAAATGGGTGCATGGAATGAACTCGAGCCTCCCTTTGGCTACCCAGACTTGCACCAGAAGAGAACTTAGCCCAGGACCTGGATCCTTGAACATAATTGTAGAAGAAGATTGATTCTTCTTTCTTTCTGACTTTGCACGGCTTCGGAAGATAACCATGACATCATTCAGGAACTTGCAGGTAAAGCGCTTTTATGAGGATGGATGAGTCCCCACTGGAAGCCCTGCAAAAGGTTAAAACCCTTAAAGGTAAAGGTTAAAGGGACCCCTGACCATTAGGTCCAGTCATGGACGACTCTGGGGTTGCGGCGCTCATCTTGCTCTATAGGCCGATGGAGCCAGCGTTTGTCCACAGACAGTTTTTCCGGCTCATGTGGCCAGCATGACTAAGCCGCTTCTGGAGAATCAGAGCAGTGCATGGAAATGCTGTTTACCTTCCTGCTGGAGCGGTACCTATTTATCTACTTGCACTTTGACGTGCTTTCAAACTGCTAGGTTGGCAGGAGCTGGGACTGAACAAGGGGAGCTCACCCCGTCACGGGGATTCAAACCACCGACCTTCTGATCAGCAAGTCCTAGGCTCTGTGGTTTAACCCACAGCGCCACCTGCGTCCCCGGGTAAAACCCTTAGGACTTGTATTTGGCATTTTCTGTTTCTTTTAGAACAGGCAGTTTGGGTGACTGCAACTGGAGGCACTGATTTATTTATTTTAAATGATCCTTTCTGTAAAAGATTCTCTGCTGGTGGAAAACTAGGCGGGAAAAGTGAGAGGTTCTTGTTCAGCTCCCTTTTCTGTTGTGCTAGCTTCCGATGTGCAGTATTCTTGCAGGAAGAGAAAAAATAAAATGAAGATACAATGGGGAGGAAAACCTAAGAGCAACCGAGAATACAATACCCCCAGTTTGAACTCCAGTTTGGGCAGATCCCGGCAGCAACTCTGTCTCTTCATGAATTTTTGGATCTTGTAGCTTTGCTGTTGCTCAGGGCTGCCAGCTTGCCTTCCACATTGAGGGACCCAGCGCTGTGTGATGTTATATGCACAATGTCATGCACCGGGTGGAGGGTTCCATGGGGGCTGTTGCCCTGGGTGCGCAATGGGGGGAATCATGAACCAGGAGCCCCCCGCAGAGATCCCCACTGCACTCTGCCAGTGACAGGGGCTGGAGAGCACATTGAGTAAATATCAACCTCTGCCCTCCATCCCTGCCCAGTACAAGAGTACTCGCCTGTTGGCCGGGGAATGGGAAGCATGGAGGGCATGTTTGCAGGGAGGCTGATCTGTTTTGGGACCCCTCAGTATTGGGGTGGCTTAGCCTCACAAATACTGAGGGGGCAGGAGCCCCTTCTGGCCCCTACAGTTGGTGCCCCTGCTGTTGCTCATTACTGGTGGAAAGAATGCTTTTGCTTTTCCGTATGGGAAATTCTGCCTTCAGCAGAGCTATGCATTATTTATCTTTCTAGGTTGAGGGAAGAAAAATAAAGAAAAGAGTGGTACTGGAGCTTGCTATTAGCAAAGTGTCCTTTCTCCTCTGTCTAATTATTAAAATGATGCATGGAATCACTGTGTCTTGTGAGGAAGAGCTTTATCAGGCTATATAGTAAGTGCGACAAGTCTGAAATGCATCCAGCTTCCACTTTGATGAGAGAGAAATAATCCCTTTTCCCCAGCCAAGCTTCTATGTCAGAAAACAGAGAAGGACTAAATGAGATTGTTGCTTCTCCGTACTGCTAAGCTTTAATAGTCTTAATTTTCTCTAGAACTTGAAAAATGAGTGTTGATGCATGATCTGAATTTTAACTTGAATGTTTCCCCATCCCCCACATCTAAATTTGGATTGTGAGTCCCCTTGGCACAAAGGGCAAGTAAGCTTCTATAATGTCACACATCTCTGCCTCTTCCTACTTTTGAATCGGGGCAGGAGGAAAGGCTAGCTTTGCTAGGCAGCAGAAGGAAGGGATTTGCTTCAGACATCATGAAGTATGTGAATGTGGGGAAACAGATGAAGACAAAAAGTGGTCTTTGGTGCAGCAATACATGACCATAGCCAGGGGCATCGTGTGGAGGGTGCCAGGGGGCTGTGGCCCCAGGCACACAGTTTTGGAGTGGGTTTGAACCAGATGCCCCCATGCAGGTGCCCCCAGCACAGCCTGGCCTGATACGCCTTTCCACACGCCAAGGGCTGTGTTGGTTGGCCAGGCTGCTCCCTGCGTCGGCAGGCTGACAGCTCAGTGTGGCCATGCTTTGCTGTGGTGGGAGTGAGGTCACTCCAGTGGTGGTGGCGAGGGCTGGGCTGGCACCCCCTCCCAGTCTATGTGCTGCCTGCCTGGCACATGTGCACCTGTCCCAGGCACCACCACCAACAATTTATTATTTGTACCCCGCCCATCTGGCTGGGTTTCCCCAGCCACGCTGGACGGCTTCCACAAATACCAAAAATACACTGATATGTCGTACATTAAAAACTTCCTTGAACTTAAGATGTCTTCTGAATGTCAGGTAGTTGTTTATCTCTTTGACATCTGACGGGAGGGCGTTCCACAGGGCGGGCGCCACTACCGAGAAGGCCCTCTGCCTGGTTCCCTGTAACCTCGCTTCTCGCAGCGAGGGAACCGCCAGAAGGCCCTCGGTGCTGGACCTCAGCATCCTGGCAGAACGATGGGGTGGAGACGCTCCTTCAGGTATACTGGGCCGAGGCCATTTAGGGCTTTAATGGTCAACACCAACACTTTGAATTGTGCTTGGAAGCTGATGCTACACCGCTGACCTTAGCCTAGGGGTTGGCGTGGGGGCCCTGTGAAGCCACACAATGTTTTGGGTCAGCACTGGCAGGAGAAGTATTTATGAAAATTTGAGAAGAAGGGCAGAGCAATTGACTGGCGTTTAGGCAACCTGCAACCTCTTCCCTCTAGGAAATGCATAAAGGAATAGCACTCCCTAACACAGTGCTTTAGAGAGCCAGTGATGTTTTCTGATATCAGCAGCCATTACACCAATCTTACATGACTGCACAATTTTATTGACTAAAGGTAAGACCACGTATTGGCTGCTTGCATTCATATTCCTATAGCAAACATTGCCACGAAGCCATAGTATATTAGAGTTCATATAATGCTGTTTATATTGCAGATATTTCCAAAGGTATCCCAAAATGTGTGTGAGAGGAACTGTATGTGATTGTGTATGTACAGACAAACATCTGGCTATATTTGGATAGGCCAATGTTTACATGTGACTGTTCAACAGAGGGGAAAAGAATATTTGTATGTGTCAGAAATTTACAGTATTCTTGAACAGGAATCAGAATTGACCTCCACTGTTCTTTAATCTGGTTCATGGGGTAGATGCATAGATTTGTGTGTTAATAATATGTGTGACGCACCCTCATTGTTTCTCTACCAGAGACCGGAGGATGAGGCTGTTGTGGATCTGGGAGGTACCAGAAATGTTGTCAACATTCGTTATGAACCTGAAGAGCTGGAAGGTGAGGCTGTTCCTTCCTGCCCCCCCTTCTCCCCCCATTTCTCTGGCAGGCCATTAATCATCATTAACTATTTGGAAAGTGAAGTAAATGTGCTTTCTATCTGAGAAGGTTCCAGATACAGTATTTTGTATACCACAGAACCCAAACTGCTTATACTGCATCTCATAAACAAGACTCTGGTGAAAATCCAATTTCTTTAGCAAGAAAATTCAAATTCTGCATGCAGGATTTGGGAAACTTGATTATTTTGCATGACTGCTTCCATTCTGCTTTATTTCAAATGTGAAAATTCAATATATCTTGATTTTTTTTTTTAAAAAAAACAAGCTATAGGTGGTGGTACATGTACAGGAGTTATACAAGTATTGTGGTTTTAAAAGTGTGTAGGAGATAGGGATGGGGTACAAAATTGATTCAGTTCACATTTAAAGGCAAACCTACTAAACCCACCCTTTCCAAATCAATAAGAATACTGAAACACAACCCTCCTTTGAAATTTCCCCTTCTCCAAATTTTGCAATGTGGTTCTCTGGCCAAGTAATGTGTACAAAATTACATATACTGTCCCCAAATGTAGAAAAAATTATATACTGGTGAAAATGACATAGAAAATTGTGTCATATTATGGGAAACTGCTTTACAAAATACTAGGGAAAATTGTATACAAAAATGTTTGTGAGAAATTAGTAGTAAAATGCTGGTGAATTTTCGCGAGAACTTTTTTTAATTGCAAACTAATATGGAATCAGAAAAATGGGAGTGACCAGATCTGAACTATTCAGCCATCCTTAGTTTTATCTATTTCATATCTTTCCCTCCAATCCATACCAGATGCTGTCTTCTGTCTGTATTGATCCCTTTTCTTTTTCCATGTTACAGGGATGTGTGTGTGTGTGTTTTTGCAAGAGATGCATTTTGTCCTTGCAGAGTAGATGGCATATTCTGAGCTACATTTCATCTCATGGGAACAAAAAGACCTGCTTTAAAATGAAAACAAACACACACACACACTTTCTTTGTCCTCTTTCCTATACTTTGGTGTATCAAATCATGAGGCTGCCTCAACATGCTTCCTCTTGTGGCTGCATCCTATGTTTTCTATATGGGAATCAGCAGGCCCCACCAAGACGTCTTCACACTCAGCAACGATTTATTAAAACATACAGAACATAGGGCAACATTGTTTGACATTACCATAAATAGTGTGATTGAATAAAGTTTATTGTGGCTAGCATTGAGAGCCAGTGTGGTGTAGTGGTTAAGAGTGGTGGACTCGTAATCTGGTGAACCGGGTTCACTTCCCCGCTCCTCCACATGCAGCCGCTGGGTGACCTTGGGCTAGTTACGCTTCTCTGAAGTCTCTCAGCCTCACTCACCTCACAGAGTGTTTGTTGTGGGGGAGGAAGGGAAAGGAGAATGTTAGCTGCTTTGAGACTCCTTCGGGTAGTGATAAAGCGGGATATCGAATCCAAACCCTCCTCCTCCTTCTTCTTCTTCTTCTTCTTCTTCTTCTTCTTCTTCTTCTTCTTCTTCATTGCCCAGGATCCCCCCCAACCCAGCCAATCTGAACCCTCTCTCAGACTTTGCACCAGAAAGTGAGAACACTCTCTCCTGTTCCTTTTCACACTGCCTGTTTGACCTGAAGCCTTTTGCGCTTGCCTCTTAGAACAACACAGCACTATAGGTTGTGAGTTTTGGGGAAATGTTTAAAATATTCAACCCTTACACAACAAAGCTCTCAAGGGTGTCTGAGAAGGCATCTGAGAACTTCAGTGCATTGTATGCTGGAGCCTGAGCATGGCTGTTTCAAGATGGTGCCATTGCACCCACGATGGCGCCATCCCTAGAGCTATTGGTCTGACCAGGGCCAGTCCGCCCATGATGCAGGCTGAGAAAGCTGCCTCGGGCAGCAAAACCCAAAGAGGTGGCACCCCCTTTGCTGCTGGCATAGAAGTGGAGACAGCAGCAGTAGCTTCCAGCAAGATTTTGTGAGATCTTGTAGAAGCCTCCTGAGATAACACTGGAACCTGGTAAGGGAATCTTCAGGGTGGCAGTGTGGGGCAGCACATTCCTGTTTCACATCAGATTCTGGTTCCAACAATGTATGCACACACAGTTTCACTTTAGAGACACTTCGTTCCCTCTTTTCACGGCCAGCACTGAAACAGATGTTAAGGAAGAGAGGAAAACTCAACAGGTGCATCATATGAGAGAAGAGAGGATTAGCAATGCTAATGTATAAAGCACTGAAGGAAGCCTGCAGAATGCTGCCTTCCATATGTACCCTAGAGGAGGGGCAGTAGAAGTCTGTGGATAGTGGAATGTGACAGGATTCCAGGAAGGAGAGGCAGGAAACCTGCCAAATCAAGCTCTGCCCCCTGTAATATGGTGGTATTCAAAACTATTCTCTCAGGAGCTGCTGGGCTCAAACTTGAGACCTTCTGTTTGCATGTGGCTGTTCCATCTGGTGAATTGTAAGTCTGGAATATCTGCTGCCCTAAGTAGTTAAGAACCTTCAGGCCTGAACTGGCCTCACCCAGGCATACTGGTCATTGGCACCTCCTGGACAGGAAGGACTATAAAAGGGCTTCCAGTTTGCTTGAGCAGAGGATATGCCTAACTCCGGTGTGTTCCTTTCGTCCTGATTCCTGGCTTTGTCATCTTCTCTAACTTCTGCTTTGCTTCTTGGATCCAATTCCTGCTCTTGCCATTCTTGCCTGCTCCTTCCCTGGTTCCAACTCCCTGGCCCAGCTGCTGCTTCCTGGCTCCTGACTTACGTTGGACAGCTGCCTGTTGATTACACATCCATGACACTTTCAAAACCACAGGGACTAGAAACTTGACTGTCATATAAGAATGACAACCGATGTTCTTCAGGAACTTGAAATGTGGGATTGGATTTTGTGCAAGCCACTCTTACACTTGGAATCTGAGAAGCCAAAGAATCTTTGGCGGTGGTGCCACAGAGAACTCTGTAATTCCTTTAGCAGTGGTGCTGAGGCCGAGGATTCCCAAATGCTGTATGAAGAGAACGCTGGAACTCCGCGATCGGCACGATCATCCTTTGGGTCGAGCAGCTGCTGCTATGTGGGCACTGAGATGCACACGCATGTTTAAAGTAGCCTGTGTTATGTGACAGTGTGAGTACCTCCCACTATGCCTAGCAAATATTTGCCCAACAAACACAGCCTGCTGCTTCTTCTGCCAGCAAATATCCCTCTGAATGAAATTGTTCCTTAGCACGGACTGTTCCAAGCCTTCATGCAAATTTTCGACATGAGCCAAGATCTGAGAGAGCTTCCTTCCAAAGCAAAATTCTCCCTCTCTGTGTGTGGATCACAAGTTGATCTTGTTCTCTAATTGTTTTAGTTGTTGTTGTTTTACATGTTTTAGCGGTTATGCTTTTTGACTGGCTTGTCTTATTGCATTTTTTTTATTTTATATTTTTAGGGACGCGGGTGGCGCTGTGGGTAAAAGCCTCAGTGCCTAGGGCTTGCCGATCGAAAGGTCGGCGGTTCGAATCCCCGCGGCGGGGTGCGCTCCCGCTGCTCGGTCCCAGCGCCTTCCAACCTAGCAGTTCGAAAGCATGCCAAAGTGCAAGTAGATAAATAGGTACCGCTCCAGCGGGAAGGTAAATGGCGTTTCTGTGTGCAGCTCTGGCTCGCCAGAGCAGCGATGTCACGCTGGCCACGTGACCCGGAAGTGTCTCCGGACAGCGCTGGCCCCCGGCCTCTTGAGTGAGATGGGCGCACAACCCTAGAGTCTGTCAAGACTGGCCTGTACGGGCAGGGGTACCTTTACCTTTACCTTTTATTTTATATTTTTATTGAGTTTTCAATATTTATCATAGTCACATTTTGTTACATACAGCAATAACCTTAAACATTGCTTGACTGAGCACCGACCTCCTTCCCTCCCTCTTTCTGACTTCTGAACATCTTTACTAAATTCTTAGCATCTCTATAAACCCCTTTTTAATTTCTATCTTTCTGTAACATTTCACCTCATTATATGTAAATTATGGATACTTTCAATACTTTGATGGAATTGTTTAATTGTGTATTTTAATAATGTATTGATTTCATACTGGTAAACCTCTTAGAAGCCACTTTGGCATGTAGGTGGTATATAAATTAATAATAATAAATCTATACAATAAATTGTCCTTCATAACTTTGAAACGTTCCAGCAGGGGAAAGCTCTGTTACCTGTGACACAGTAATAAAAACTAGTAAAAGATGCCAACAAGAATTGCAGTCATAAATGCAGAACACCAATAATTTTTTCACTTCAAACACATCCTCCTAGGCTGGACTGAAACGAAAGTCCCCCCCCCCCTTGTGTCTTGTATCCCTGCAAGAAAGAACACGGCAAAGGACTCTCCAAACAGGAATTCTAAAGGGCAAGAACCACAACAGGAAATAGAAAATGTGCTGGAGATGAAAACCAGATTTTAAAGGATTCTGGGTTGTACCCATTGTTGGCCATGCTCTAAGTAGAGCCATTGAAGTTAATGGACCTAAGTTAGTCATGTCATTCATTTTAATGGCTCTTCTTGGAGTAAAACATAGTTGGGAGTCACAATACCAAATCCTGAATATGCTGCACTTTGTATTCTGAGATTGGTTACATTCACTATTACTGATAAACTGAGATTTGCATCTGAAACTTCATCTTATCTCAGGCTGCAGCACTGCAATGGGAGAAGGTAAGCCCATTGAATAGTGGGACTTAGACCTGAGTAAATATGCACAGGATTGCACACTCTTTCACATCAGCTTCAAACAGACCCTTAAGGTGGCTTACGGCACTAATCTTCCTAACAGGATTTGGAAACGAAGGGTGAATATTGTGTGCTTCTCGTCTGTCAAAATCCCACGCAAAGCAAGTAGGGTGTCAATACCGATAAATAATTCCCTTTTATATCAAAGGGAAGTCACCCTTAAGAGGAAGCCCCTCTAAGTCCAAAGGTGGAAGAGGGGGAATCTCTGCAGCTCCTTCCGCTGTTCTTTTTATTCCTTGTTCCTTTTATTCTCTCTTTGTATTCAGCATGGCACAGTGTGCTTGAATTAGTAATAAATTGCACAGCAGCAGAATGTCACAAATCTTTTCACCTTCTCAGTTTTATATAAATAAAGGTCATGGTTTCTTGGGACTCAGACCCAGAACTTGAACAGAAGGTACCTGTTTTCTTGGAAGGTGTGCAGTAACAACAAGGACGGGGGTGCTCTGAACGAGAGCTGAGTTCGTTTTCTGCAATGCTGTGTGTCCACGGCCTGAGCTTTCAAGTAGAACTGCATCCTTGAACCCTAAAAAAAGAGAAAAAGTTAAGTGATGGGGTGAAAAACTCATAAAAACCTCAGGGATCAAACGCTGAATGTTCTGCACGCAAAGCTAATGCTCTGCCCACTAGCTATGACCCTTCTCAAACAACGTCTCACTGCCAATATTAAAATATTGGTAGCAGGGACTCAGGTGGCGCTGTGGTCTAAACCACTGAGCCTCTTGGGCTTGCCGATTGGAAGGTTGGCGGTTCGAAATCCCCGCAGTGGGGTGAGCTCCAGCTCCTGCCAACCTAGCAGTTTGAAAGCACGTCAAAGTGCAAGTAGATAAATAGGTACCACTCTGACGGGAAGGTAAACGGTGTTTCCGTGCGCTGCTCTGGTTCACCAGAAGCGGCTTAGTCATGCTGGCCACATGACCCGGAAGCTCCCTCGGCCAGTAAAGCGAGATGAGCGCCGCAACCCCAGAGTCGTCCGCAACTGGACCTAACGGTCAGGGGTCCCTTTACCTTTAGCAAGTTTCCAAATGGCTAAATTGAAAAGTCCCCCCCCCAACCCCTTACAATTCAGAGCTTACATTGGTTAGAAAGCTGCAGCTGCTTCTTTTTCAGATTCTGAACTGGCAGTATTCATTCTTACTTTTGTAGCTTGAAGGCTAGACTTACTGCAATTAGGTCTACATGGGGCTTGAAGAGACTACTCAGAAGTAATGCAACACATGGTCTTGGAATCCAGAAAAAGATGGGTAATCAGAAACACATTAAACTGACATTCCTGGGTCTTCACTGGCTCCATATAGCCGTCTGGGCCATTCATGAACCACAATGCCCCAAACAACCTGGGCTATATATATTCATCATGTGTCCCAGCAGGGCGTGCTTCTGAACTAAACCATTGGGCTAATCATTGTAGTGTATGCCCATCAGGAATGGCCCATGATCAACAGTCTGGGGATTACTCATGGCTGTGGGACCAGCCAGCCAGCAGGGCTAATGAATAATCCAGAGCCACAGGGCAGCCAAGAAGTAAAGTAGAAATCAAGGCAGAAGTCAGTGGAAAAACTAGGGGTCAATGGGCGAGCCAGAAGTCAGGACCAAAAAAATAACCATGAATACAGGAACACACCGCAGCTCAGGAGGACCTTGTTGCTCAAGCAAAGTTGGACTGGAAGAGGAAGCCCTCTTACACTTCCCACCTGTCGAGGAACGGCCAACTTGGGTAGATGCTGTCTTGTCCAGGGCCTGAAGGTGCCTGCAATTCAAAGGTTCACTTTTTGTAGAAGACTGGAGGCCATTTTTTAGAAATATCTTCAAAGGGAGTGCATAGGAAATGGGCATTGAATCTTCCACCCTCCCTTCTGAGTCTTACTTCCCTGCAGTCCATTGCTCTACCTTCTTTTCTCTGTTCCTGTCCAGGATTAACAGAAGTGAGCCGTAAGCAGAGAAACATGGCTGATGCAATTGCATGAGGGGAGAGAGAGTGGACTCAGTGCCCCCACCCCTATTTTATATGTCAATAGGATGGACATGTGGAAAGGCTGTGGTTCCTAGTTTTTCCAGGAAAGTTGCTCCAAAGCCATTCAAGATGCTGTTACTATTTGGGCTGTTCTGGTTCTGAAGAATGGCTGGGGTTGGAATGAGAAGGGGAGAAGTTTGCACAGGATATGATTTGTATCAGTTACACCCAATACAAAACTTAAACTTCTCTGCTTTGATTCCAGGGCACAGGACTCTGTATGTTGGGGTGCGGATGCCTTTAATGAGACAGACCCACAGACATCACAGACATGGCCAGAAGCACAGGAAGCGAGATCGGGCGCGGCAAATGCAAGAAGAGCCTGGGTCTAATGGTGAGTGTGCGGTGCTGGGTTACTATGTGATGTGAACGTGACAGTAGGGCAAGCATCTTCATGGGCCAGTGTCCTGTATAGATTTCCAATACCTCAGAGACAGAAGCTTTCCCAGCATGGCTACCAATAGATCCTTCAATAGAATCGTAGAGCTGTAGAGTAACTTTTTTTGCTGTACACGTCTGGCTAGGTAGTAAATGTATTTACTAGGTAGTAAATGTATTTACTAGGTACATTTACTAGGTAGTAAATTTACTAGGTAGTAGGGACACGGGTGGCGCTGTGGGTTAAAGCCTCAGCGCCTAGGACTTGCCGATCGCAAAGGTCGGCGGTTCGAATCCCCGCGGCGGGGTGCGCTCCCGCTGCTTGGTCCCAGCGCCTGCCAACCTAGCAGTTCGAAAGCACCTTCGGGTGCAAGTAGATAAATAGGGTACCGCTTACCAGTGGGAAGGTAAATGGCGTTCCATGTGCTGCGCTGGCTCGCCAGATGCAGCTTGTCACGCTGGCCACGTGACCCGGAAGTGTCTGCGGACAGCGCTGGCTCCCGGCCTATAGAGTGAGATGAGCGCACAACCCTAGAGTCTGGCAAGACTGGCCCGTACGGGCAGGGGTACCTTTACCTTTTAAATGTAGTAAGTAGCTAGCAATGCAGGAAGTTGCTGCCTTTGCACAAATCTTTATTATCTGTGGTACTGCATATTACTCTTTTGCATGTTGTGTTCTTATGCTGAGGGGCTGCTCCTGTAAGCTACTTGTCCCATGTCTAGAAACATTGCAAGGCGTCTCCCTCTTGTCCTTTTTTTTGCATGGGTATTCAAAAGGGGAGGGGAGCAATTAATCATGCTCTCAAAGCTCGTCTCCTTGTTTGTTATTTACTTTTTGCTCCACTTTTTTAGATTCCCCATCTCGGAGAGTTCAGTTTATCATTGGCTTGGAGGAGGATGAGGAACATGTCCCCCATGACTTGTTCACAGAGATGGATGAAATCTGCGTGAAGGAGGATGAAGATTCAGAGTGGAAGGAAACAGCAAGGTAAAAATGAAGGACAACAGGTGTACGCCAGCTTCCTGTGTGGTCAGTTTAGCTCCAAAGGATTAAGCCAGAAGCATTCTTAAAGAAACAAGTAACCATTTCCCCTGCTTATGGGACCAGAAAGTTAAATGGGCAGATTGCATCCTGAATGCTGATGCTCTTCTGTCACATGGGTTGCCAGAGATGTGGCAAGGGAATTGTCAGTACAGTAACATATCTGTGTGGGATTACTGTAAGTCTTGAATGAAGAATGGATAGAAGCACCCAGTTTCACTCAGGACAGTCTGGCAGGCCAGGATTTTGCATCTGGAATTCTACCATACTTTCTGCTCCTGTTCCAGAATTAGTTCCAGATGTCCCAGTTTGAATGGTATCTGGTGGGTACTGCTGACTCCAGAGGTTTTACTAATGGGCCGCTTTGAACATGCACACAAGCTTCCTGAGTCAGCATGAGATGGTAGTGCCATCACATCAGTCCAATTGAAGAGGCTCTTCATCGGCTGCTGAGCCAACAGCACTGGAGAAGGCTTCCAGGACCTTCTGGATTCCAGGAAATCCAGTCTCTGGGCTGTTTTGTTTCTGCTGAGCAAAGAGCTGCTAAGCTGCTGCCAAATGCCACTTTGTGTCTCTAGTTCATAAGTGCCTTAAATGCACTTCCAAACCTATTCAAAATACATGTGCTAATGTACCTGCCAAGCTCACACAAACCAAAGCACATTCACTGTTGCTTTGCCCAGTGGTGACATCTACTGGCAGAAGACTGTGTTGTTGCTACCAGCCAGTGTTTTCTACATTCAGCCTTGGTAGCTCCAGATGTTTCCATAGGTGTTGATTTTCAAAATAAACAAAGCAAGTGACTGGTAACTCCTTCTGCACCAGTTTGTTTGTGAACACTGGGAGAATTCATTCTAGTAATCTGCGTAGATCACAGCTTCATAAGCCTTGGTTTCTCAGAGCCACTACAAAGCAGGGAACTGCTATTTTGAGCCCCCTGAAGTGGCAAAATGTAAGACTCTCAGTGCTCTCTGAAAACAAGAAAACAATTGCCTCATTTGTGTTCTACTGACAGCTTCCCATAGCAGCTGATTGTACTTTCCTTGAAAGATACTTCTCGTATTTTGAGAATATTTGGCTTTAAAGGTAAAGGTAAAGGTACCCCTGCCCGTACGGGCCAGTCTTGCCAGACTCTAGGGTTGTGTGCCCATCTCACTCAAGAGGCCGGGGGCCAGCGCTGTCCGCAGACACTTCCGGGTCACGCGGCCAGCGTGACAAGCTGCATTTGGCGAGCCAGCGCAGCACACGGAACACCATTTACCTTCCCGCTAGTAAGCAGTCCCTATTTATCTACTTGCACTTTGACGTGCTTTCGAACTGCTAGGTTGGCAGGCGCTGGGACCAAGCAACGGGAGCGCACCCCACGGCGGGGATTCGAACCGCCGACCTTTCGATCGGCAAGTCCTAGGCGCTGAGGCTTTAACCCATAGCGCCACCCGTGTCCCTACCATTTGGCTTTAGGTAAAGGTACCCCTGACCGTTAGGTCCAGTCATGAATGACTTTGGGGTTGCTTGCTCATCGTGCTCTATAGGCTGAGGGAGCCAGCGTTGGTCCGCAGACAGCTTCTGGGTCATGTGGCCAGCATAGAATCATAGAATCATAGAATCATAGAATCATAGAGTTGGAATAGACCACAAGGGCCATCGAGTCCAACCCCCTGCCAAGCAGGAAACACCATCAGAGCACTCCTGACATATGGTTGTCAAGCCTCTGCTTAAAGACCTCCAAAGAAGGAGACTCCACCACACTCCTTGGCAGCAAATTCCACTGTCAAACAGCTCTTACTGTCAGGAAGTTCTTCCTAATGTTTAGGTGGAATCTTCTTTCTTGTAGTTTGGATGACTAAACCGCTTCTGGCGAACCAGAGCAGTGCACAGAAACGCCGTTTATCTTCCTGCCGGAGTGGTACCTATTTATCTACTTGCATTTTGACGTGCTTTCGAACTGCTAGGTGGGCAGGAGCAGGGACCGAACAACAGGAGCTCACCCCATCGCAGGGATTCGAACTGCCAACCTTCCGATCAGCAAGCCCTAGGCTCTGTGCTTTAGACCACAGCGCTACCCGTGTCCATACTTGACTTTGGGAAGGGGCAATAATTTATAGGTAGAGTACAAGCAGTGCTTGCAGAAGCTCCTATGTTCAGTCATTGGCATCACAAATTAAAGGATTATGGGTAACAAGTGGAAGATGGTGTAGAAATACTTAAAATGAGAATAAAAAGGCCCATGAGGCCACCACCTTGCTGAAGCTAAGCAGGTCTAGTGATTGGGTAAGAGACTGCCTCCACCTTGGGTTCTGGGAAAGGATATAAATGTAATAAAATAAATTTGCACATTGGTACTCAGCACCAGGGTCAAGGTTTTTTGTTTTTAAAAAAGCTGTTCCTATTGATCTGGATTGTGTTGGTGTCCATCACTTGCAGGTGGGTGAAGTTTGAAGAAGACGTGGAAGATGGAGGAGAGCGTTGGAGTAAACCCTACGTTGCAACCCTCTCATTGCACAGTATCTTTGAGCTGAGGAGCTGCATCATCAATGGGATTGTCCTTCTGGATATGAACGCAAGCACCATCGAAGAAATTGCAGGTGCCCGTTAAGGATGATTAAAAAGGAAAGGAACAGAGTCAGCGTGTAAGGTGGAGTGGAGCCCGAGGCAGAAAATCCAAATGGCATCCTCTTGCTTTGCATACAGCAGACCCCAATTTCACTTCCCAGCACCTTTTCTTAGTAGTGGGGTGGAGATTAGAAGGATGTTTTTGCCAGAGACCCTGGAGGGCTGTCTCCTGTCAGGCAGGCAGTACTGAGCCGTATATGGGCCAAGGGTAAAAGGCAGCCTCATATACTCATATTAAAGGTAAAGGGACCCCTGACCATAAGGTCCAGTCGTGGCTGACTCTGGGGCTGCGGCGCTCATCTCGCTTTATTGGCTGAGGGAGCCCGCGTACAGCTTCCAGGTCATGTGGCCAGCATGACTAAGCTGCTTCTGGCGAACCAGAGCAGTGCATGGAAACGCTGTTTACCTTCCCACCGGAGTGGTACCTATTTATCTGCTTGCACTTTGACATGCTTTCGAACTGCTAAGTTGGCAGGAGCAGGGACCGAGCAACGGGAGCTCACCCCATTGTGGGGATTTGAACCCCCGACCTTCTGATCGGAAAGTCCTAGGCTCTGTGGTTTAACCCACAGTGTCACGTGCGTCCCTATATATTCATATTAGGTAAAGGTAAAGGTACCCCTGCCCGTACGGGCCAGTTGTGTCCGACTCTAGGGTTGTGTGCCCATTTTAGACACATTAAATGCGCATATTTTACATGGTCCTGATTAGACTTGGTCAGGTTGGCTTGCAACCTCAAGATTTCCTCGGAGTCTGAGAAAATTGTTATGGCTCCTCATGATTTTGTCATGGTTGTTACAAGAGGAGTGTACTTTCCAGCAAAAATATGTGTGTGTGTTGCATGCTACGTATTTCTACTAAACTGTGCTAAAAATGTTTTTTTTTTAAATGCAAATGTTCCGCTAGCTTTCATGACAATGACTTTTTTTTTATTAAAAAAACACCATCAAACCTGACCTCACACCATTGGCAGCCTTGTGAGACTTGCCCATTAAGGAGTGGATTAAGATATTATTGCCAAAGCCCCGGTTTGCTATGGGAAATGCTATCTCTGTTTGCTGTAACAGACTCTAGTCCTCCTCTGCAGGAAAGTACACACACTTGTGAGTGATGGAGAAACTGCCCTGAGCTGTTAAAATCTGCATCTTTTGGAACTCTGTGAACTTCAAGCTTACATGGCTGCCTGGAAAACAGAAAGTTGCTTGAGGCATTTTTGTAGCATTCATTTTCAGAGGCACTGCTCTTTTGCCTAATAACCAAAGTCATGTGTTAATGGAAGAGTCAGTGGAAGACTTAATGGAGCTTTCTTAATTTTTCCTTCCAGGAAAGTAGCTTTGTAGAAATGGGCTTTTGATTGACAAGATTCCATTCAAGCCCTCTGGTATCTGATAATTGTGAGCACATTTCCTTCCCACAAGGGTTACCAATATCAGTCAATTACGCAAGATATTTCAATGAGGCATTGTGCTGCAGATTGCTTCTTATTTGATTAGATGCGCAGAGAAATAAAACTGGCTCAGATTGTGGAAGCGAACTGCATTATCTTGAATGGGGTTGCAGTTGCATTATTTAGACAGTGCTTTAGCGTTTCACAAAGCTTATTAACTGAAGGGAATCGCCTGCTTTCTCAGCAGAGACAAAGAGGGATTGTCTACACCGCAGCCTTCTGCATCACAAATCTGCACATGGACTTGGTTTCTGTGGCTTCACATCTGGCATATACTGTATTTTTTGCTCCATAGGGTGCACTGGACCATAGGGCGCACCTAGTTTTTAGGGGGGGGGAATAAAGATTTTTTTTATTCCCCCCCAGCCCCAAAGAGCAAAGAAGCCAAGTCTTGGCTTCCTCTTTAGCCACGTGCAACCTCTCCAGCCGGGAGAAGCTGTGCGCAGCTTTGTTTTTAGCCGTGGGGCTGGGACGGGGGAAGCCCGAGCTTCCCCTGACCCCAGGTCCCAAATCAGGTGCAGGAGCGGTGTCGAGATTGTGTGCAACCTCACCGCCGTTACCGGGGCTTGTAGCCGCGGGGCTGGGATGGGGGAAACCCAAGCTTTCCCCGACCCCAGCCCCCAGAACAGGCAGCTATCCGCAAGCCTTCTGAGCCTGGCAGGAACTCCCACCAGGCTCAGAAGGCTTGCGGACAGCTGCCTGAAGCCCGGGGAGCGAGAGGGGTCTGTGCGCACTGATGCCGCTCGCTCTCCAGGCTTCAGCGGAAGCCTGCATTCGCTCCATAGGACGCACACACATTTCCCCTTCATTTTTGGAGGTGAAAAAGTGTCTCCTATAGAGCAAAAAATATGGTATATGTTTTAGAGAGCCAAGGACTTAGACTTAGAGGAATCGCTTGTGCTTGAGTCATGTTTCTCTGGCTTTGTTGGCACTTAGGAACACAGAGTCAAACCATGGGCCCATTTAGCGCAGTATTGTCTGCACTGACTGGCAGCAGCTGTCCAGGGTTTTAGGCAGGAGTCTTTGCTCGCCTTACCTGAAGCTGCCAGGGATCGAACATGGAAGCCACTGAGCTATGTTTTTTGTTTAATTTTGTTTAATTTGTATTAAGTTTTTCATATTTTATTACATTTCAGTATCAAAGAATTAGAGAAAATAATAATAATAATAATTCATGACTTAAAACATTGCTTAAATAAAGCCTTGACCTTTCTTTCCTCTAACAGACTTCCATATCTCATTACCGATTTCTCCACATTCCTAAATTCACTTTTTTACCTTAAATCAATCTTTTAAAAATCACCTTCTTATAAGTAAATCAGCTCCTTAATTTCCCATTACCAAACATTTCAACTTAAACCTACAAACGTATTCAACTGTTTACAATTTTCTTTCATATAGAATATAAATTTGCCCCAGTCCTTTTGAAACAAATCAACATGGCGATTTTGAATCTTCCCCGTCAGCTTCGCCAGCTCCACATATTCGACCATCTTTACTTGCCAATCTTCCAATGTGGGGAGTTCTTGTTGCTTCCATTTCTGGGCCAGGAGTATTCTTGCGGCCGTTGTTGCATACATGAACAAATTTACATCTTTCACTTGAATTTCCTCAATTAACCCCAACAGGAAGCCCCTGGTGTTTTACTGAAATTATACTTAAATACCTTTTTCAATTCATTATATATAGTATCCCAAAAGGCTTTAATCTTGGAGCAAGTCCACCACATGCTATGTTTTATCTTCACTGTTTTATATTCAGCATTATTGGGGAAAAGATTACACGCCTGCCACACTTGGAGGGTGGAAATGGATATCCTACACAATAGCTGTTCAAGCACAGAGACTGTCATAGGCCATGAATTAAGGCAATTTGTTGTTATTCTCCAGGAAATTCAGGGTAGAGAGCAGCAGTGCTGAACTAACCTGATGACTGGATGGTAAGATTGGGTGCCACTCCTCACAGTCTGGAGCTCTCACATCCTTAAGCACCTACAACATGATTATTACCAGTCTGTTCTAACTCAGGAACAAAGGATCCTGCCTTCTACTGTGTCAGACCACAGGCCCTCTGGGGTTTCTGACAGGGGTCTCTCCCAAACTCTACCTGGGGATGGTGGGTATTTGAACCTGGGACCTTCTTCATGGAAACCAGATGTTCTGCCTTTGTGCCATGGCCTTTCCCCTCAAGTCCCCTTACAAGTTGTTCCTGTAGCTCAGTGGTAGATCACTGGTCTTGGGTTGACTCCCTGTCATCTCTACAAAGAGTAAAGAACCTTCAACTCCCATAATTCCTGGCTGAGACTAATTGGGAGTTGGGAGTCCAACAAGGAATGGTGGGCCACATATTCCGTACCTCTGATGTAGGAAACACTGGAAGTCAGGGCTAAGAAAGGTCTCTGTTCAGGACCATGGAGAGCTGCTCTATTCAGGGTCGCTAGGTGGTCCTGGGTTCAGTGGAGCAGTGGGCTATGAACATAAGGCTGCACATGGTATGCTTTCTTTTCTTACACTTAAAAATCTCATGAAAATTGCACACAAACCCACCCATCCCCTACTCTCACACAACATTCCTTCGTCTCCCATCAGCCCCATCTTGTCATTCCTCTGGTTGTATTTTGCTTTCCATGCTGGCTCTAGGGCCACCAATAGTTATTTTCCTTTCTTGGTTTAGATGGGTGTTTTTTAATACATTTTTATTAATTTTAACATTCAAATTATAAAACGTACCGCACAATTTATTACAAATACAATCTTATTGGACTTCCATCAGCACCTCTGATGATCCTCCGTCTTAACCATTTCTTATGCATTTCTTAACTTTGTATTGTCTTTACATCTCTTAACATAACATCTCCCCTTCTCCATTTTTACAATACTTCCAATATTACTCCTCACAGAACTTCTTGCAAACCTACGAATGTCGTCTGGTCATCACAAATACTTTTCAATTAATTCTTAAATTTACTCCAGTCTTTGGTAAATTTCTGGTCCCGCCGGTTTTGGATCCTTCCTGTTAGTTTGTCTAATTCTGCATAGTTCATTAACTTCATCCTCCATTCTACAATGGTTTAGATGGGTTTTTGAAAAGGTCTGGACAAATTCTTGGAGAGTAGGGTTACTGTTGGCCATTAGTCATGATAGCTAAATGGAACCTCCATGTTTAGGGACAGTCTCTCTCTGATACCACATGCTGGGGACAGAGAAGAGGAATGGCTTGCTTGTAAGCTTCCCACATATATCTGGCTCCACTTAAAAACAGTGAGACAAACCCAGTGGAACTGGGTGTGATCCGGTAAGGGCATTTTTGACATTCTTTCACTACTAAGGGCCACGCTAGATGTTATATTAATTTTACTGTTGCATTAAAAGATGTCAGTAGCAGCTGATATGTGCGTAATTGATAATTATGGCAAGCCCTCAATTTACTTGGGGGTTTCAATTTGGGGATCGTGCCTAAAGCCAAAATTGTGTATAGTCAAAATCCATTGGGTTCAACGGCAGGCAGGATCCCCCCCCCAGAACCCCACCTCCTTTTCACTCCCTTTAAAATGAATTATTTTTTTTGCTACACACATAAAGCTGAATGTGCACAAGTTAAATGCATGTAAGTGGAGGACTTACTGTACTGGGATCGCAGCTGATGGGAGAGTGCAAGCCTCTTCTCCATTTTTGCAAACCTGAGAAAATTTGGTCCTCCCGAGCAGCTGTTGGAAGGAAAGCTGTCATTGGCTCTCGCAACTGGTCTGACAGCTGTGACCATTCCTGGACTGAGAAAGCTTGGCCACAGTAGTTCATACATGGGTTAATTCAAGACTGGATTACTGCAATGCTGTGAAGCGTGGGAGTTCCCCTCTCCCTTCGGTAGCTCACAGATAAGAATTAACGAGCAGTTGATAGATTTATAGTCCTTTTATTTATGTGATTGTAATAGTGGGGCACCGGAATCGTTGCATCACATAATTTTTGACTGTGCTTTTCACTTACCGGCCAGGAGCAAGTTTCTTGCTCAATATCTTAAGGGAATTGCCGATGATACGATTGAAGCCAAACTGAGATATCTACTAATTGATGATGACCCCCTAAAATCACTCATGGTTGCCAGATTCCTGATCAGCATCCTATCCCTAAAGAAGAGAAATGGTCTCCTGTGTGATTCGGATAACCCCTTTAAACCCTGACCTATGTTTTAGGTGATATCACCATTGTTTTAAACCATGATCTATGTTTTAGGCGATATCACCATTGATATCCCAGATTAATTTATGAGCAGAGGGCGATGTATAGGTTACAAATTTATTGTAATGTATGATGGTGGTTTCTGTTTTGTATGATGGTGGTTTTTGTTTTTGTTTTGCTTCGGTTACTGTTTGTCTTTTGTAAGTTTTGGTGATTTTAAATTTGGAGGTTTAAGTATAATATGTTGGTATGGGAAACTGTCGTGTAACGGGCCAATGGCCGTAATAAAGATCAATCCAATCCAATCCAATCCTTTTATTACAGCATCATGTTGCAAGCACAAACAGGGAACCCTCCGCAAGGAGATCAGTTGCCTACTCTGAATCCTCCTTCTGACTTCCTCAACAAGGGGGTGCCAATGGGAAGTTCCTCCCCCTCTTTGCCTCCTTTGTTCTCTGATACGTGTGGACCTCGGAGTCCATGGGGAGGGGGGTTCCCCCCCACTCTCAGTTGATGTGTCTCCCAGCTGCCCCCTCCCTTCTGGATCTCTTAGCATTATCTCATAGCTGGGTAAAAAGTTACAGATAGGTAGCCGTGTTGGTCTGCCATAGTCAAAACAAAAAAATTCCTTCCAGTAGCACCTTAAAGACCAACTAAGTTAGTTCTTGGTATGAGCATGCACACGAAAGCTCATACCAAGAACTAACTTAGTTGGTCTTTAAGGTGCTACTGGAAGGATTTTTTTGTTCTGGGTAAAAAGGTAAAGGTAAAGGACCCCTGACAGTTAAGTCCAGTTGCGGATGACTCTGGGGTTGCAGCGCTCATCTCGCTTTACTGGCCGAGGGAGCCGGCATTTGTCCGCAGACAGTTTTTCCGGGTCATGTGGCCAGCATGACTAAGCCGCTTCTGGCAAAAACAGAGCAGCACACGGAGACACCGTTTACCTTCCCACTGGAGTGGTACCTATTTATCTACTTGCATTTGACATGCTTTCGAACTGCTAGGTTGGCAGGAGCTGGGACCGAGCAACAGGAGCTCATCCTGTCGCGGGGATTCAAACCACCGACCTTCTGATCAGCAAGCCCTAGGCTCTGTGGTTTACACCACAGCACCACCCACGTAGCTGGCTAACTCCTCCTTAATCTATTTAGCTTCTGTATCTGCCTCTCTCTCTGCTTCTGAAAACACTAGAGGTGAGCCCCCCCTCCAAATATTCCCCCTCCTCTTCTGAGAGGAGCTGATCTGCCTGCGACTGCATTCCTCAATCTTCAGATCCAGACCATTCCCTGACAAACGCGCTGTATGTGGGGCTTCCCTTGTGCTTGATCTGGAAGCTGCAGTTAGTGCAAAATGCTGTGGCACAATTGGTAGCAGGTGTGAGACCTTGTCAGACCTGTGCTGAGAGGTCTGCATTGGTTGCCAATTTGCTTCTGGACCAAATTTCAGGTGTTATTATTAGTAAATAACCACTAATAACCTTAACCACTTGGAACCAGTTTACGCACAAGATTGCCTTAACTCATGGATGACCACTCAGCCACTTCAGTCTCTGGAACTGGCATTTGTAAGAAACCAGTCTTTAAATGTGGCAGTATCTACACTTTGAAACTCCCTGCCTATTGACACTAGGCAGGTACCTTCACTGCACTCTTTGGGGCACCTGCTAAAAACATTTTTCTTTAGACAAGCCTACCCAGACTTGGACAATGTTGATGTACACTTTAATCTGTATTTATTTGACTGCCATCAAAAAAATATTTTCAATTGATGCTTATAACTGTTTTCACTGTGAATTTTATTGTTTATTGTCTTTGTTGAACTTCTTTGAGGTTTTATGTGTATATATATATATATATATATATATATTTGCTTTCGTATATATGGTATATATATGGTATGGTATATGGTATATATATAAAGCAATCAAGTGGTTTTTGAATTTTATGAATTGCAATAAATGAATGGTGCTAAAAATTTTAATGACTTGGAGTTTCTCCCTTTCAGACATGGTTCTGGATCAATATGAACCTTCTGAGGAGATTGATAAGAAAACCCGCAAAAAAATCCGGGAAGCCCTTTTGAGGAGTCATCACCATCAGAATGGAAAGAAGAAAAACATCCTCCCAATTGTCCGCTCTTTAGCTGATGTCTCCCAGAAAAAAACTGAACCTCCCTCGACAGATAAAGCAGGTGAGAGTCTCTGGAGGTCTGTACGGTCTGGTTGAAATAGCACAATAACCTGTGCATCTCCTATCATGCCTCCCTAGCATCCAACCAGTCTTCTCAGTGCCACCTTTGTTCTGTTATGGAGTCCAGGGCAACATACACATGGTTCCCAGGAGGTCTGGCATCCTGACACAGACCTGCTTAGCTTTAGCAAGTTGGTGCACTTGTTTGCCTTCAGGTGATACTCTAGGACCCTTATTCTGGCTAATTTGTCCTCCAGCACTAAAAAGGTAAAGGACCCCTGGCAGTTAAGTTCAGTCGCGAACGACTCTGGGGTTGGGGTTACAGTAGCAATACAGTGGTACCTCAGGTTAAATACGCTTCAGGTTACAGACTCCGCTAACCCAGAAATAGTGTTTCAGGTTAAGAACTTTGCTTCAGGATGAGAACAGAAATCGGGCTCCGGCGGCTAAAGTGTTGCTTCAGGTTAAGAACAGTTTCAGGTTAAGTACGGAACTCCGGAACGAATTAAGTACTTAACCTGAGGTACCACTGTTCTAATTTAATTTTTTTATTTCCTTTTTTGTTGATACACCGAGGGGAAAAAAGGAAGAAAAGCAAAAATACAAATGAAAATAATAATGAACACAAAATTATTTACAAAACAATAAAGCAAGATTTGGTCTTTGAACTATAGGCCTGACCTTCCGTCTATTCCTTACTTCAATTATATATTGTTGGTTGCCAATACACACTTTTATAATAATTTAACTAATCCTTAATTTGTCTTAGATCTCGTGTCTTTCTTAAAGCTACTACTGAAATTATTCGAATGCTGCGACAGAGTTTAAACTGCTGTAATTATTTTTCAAATACACTTTAAAGACCTCCCATTTTGAGACAAATTCCTGTTTTGGTTTGTTCTTTATTTATTTTTTTTGATAGACTATCTAACTCCATATATTCTGTCAATTTTTGAGTCCATTCATGAATAGAAGGGATTTCATCACTCTTCCATTTTGAAGCAATAAGAACCCTTGCTGCAATTGTAGCATATAAAAAGATGCCCTTCATTTTTTTCGGAGTAGCAATACTCTTAATGAAGAAGCACCATCCACATAAAATTGGATATGTGGGTGAAAACAAATGCTTCATGTAATTTGTGCTGAGAAAAGTGCACTTGGTGAAAACGTATCTATAGACAGTGATATTCTGAAACTAACTATTAACATGCAATTTCATCTAGAATTATTTCTCTTCATTTCTTCCTAGGAGTGAGCTCACCAAGTGCCCCACCTCCTCCAGGCTTGGACGCTAAGAATGGAATAATCCATGATACCACCCCAACAGACTTAACTAAGGTGCAATATTCTTCGCTCGTCTATTCAACTTAAACACTGTCGTTTGACTCTCAGTTTACTTATGTTGCTAATAAGATATATAAATCCCCCAATAAGATTCAGTTCAAAATTAAAACAATAAAATTGTGCTGTTTCGATTGCAGAAGAATCTTCTTTTTTTAAAGAGAGCAGTGTGATAATGTGTACCCCTAGGGATATGCAAAACAGTTTCAAAGGGTACGCAGCATATTTTTATATTTTTTATCATAGTAGAAGTTTTATATTGTATTATATATAATAAAGCAATACCGTATATTGCTGTAGAGCAGGCATGGGCAAACTCAGCCCTCCAGATGTTTTGAGACTACAATTCCCATCATCCCTGACCACTGGTCCTGTTAGCTAGGGATGATGGGAGTTGTAGTCCCAAAAACATCTGGAGGGCCGAGTTTGCCCATGCCTGCTGTAGAGATATGTAGAGTAGAACTGTACAGTCATACCTCGGGTTGAATGTGCTTTGAGATGAGCGCGTTCGAGTTGCACTCCGCTGCAACCTGGAAGCAATGGAGCGTGTTACTTCCGGGTTTTGCAGCTTGCGCATGCGCAGTTGCTCAAAATGATGTCGTGCACATGTGCAGAAGCGCTGAAACAAGACCCGCGCACACACAGATGCGCGGACACTGGTTACGTTTGCTTCTAGATGCGAAGGGGCTCCGGAACGGATCCCGTTCGCATCTAGAGGTATCGCTGTAAAAGCAAATTGCTGTCCAGGAGCAGATAGCCATTATAGACTGTCTCTTGCTAGATTATTGACATATAGTCCTGGTCCATAGTGTTTTAAATGTACACTTAGGCATGGGCATTTTCATGGGAGAGACAATAGGTGAGAGAACAGTTGAAGATTCCTCACTGCTTGGCAGTTCTTCCCTGCAATTGTCCTTCCTGCCCCTGTTTTACTATGACAAGTGGACTTTGGTTTTCCTTGCAAGATATAGCTCTACTGTCTCAGTTTGCTGTTCTGAGTGTGTCCAGACAGATCTTGCTGTTTTTGATCAATTGGCCAGTGTGGAATGGTCAGTTAGGTAAAGGCAGGCAGATCTCTGGTATTCTGTAGCAGGAATATTTATTATGGAGGAGCAATTGTTTGTTTGTTTTTTAATGAATACATTTGAGGTAAGGTCTTGATGGCTTATCTGATCCCTTGTTACCCTGCAAAAAAGAAAAAAGTCAAAGTCAGTGAAGAGGGAGTATCCCCAAAATTACGCATGAAAAGGTGGAATAAGCCAATCAAAGCTCATATATACAATTTAACAGAGTGGTAGCGAGGACCGTCAAGCCGTGTGTTCAAAACAGATGTCTAAGGACAGTCTCACAATAGTCTTTCAAAAGTTTCAACAGAAGACGTCTCAAAAGTTTCAAAAGTAAAGTTTATCAATAGTCTTTCAAAAGTTTCAATGGAAGACGTATGGATAGACTTTACTTTTGAAACTTTTGAGACAACTTCTGTTATTCCTATAATTTGAATGATATCATTATTCTGTTATATATTCTCTACTAACTATTAGCCTGCTTGTTGCTTTTGTATTGTTGTGTTTGGTTCTTATTGCAACACAGGGGTTTGTTTTGGGTGAAAAGGAGGAGTGCCTTGTCTGTGTGGGTGAAAATGCTGGTCAAATTGTATCTCAGCCCTAGAAATTATGCCCTGTTCTTTGGAATTAGGCAGAGCTTCATTTTATGAAGAAGATTCCCACTGGAGCAGAAGCCTCAAATGTTCTTGTGGGAGAGCTAGATTTTCTTTCTCGACCGGTTATTGCCTTTGTGCGCTTATCACCAGCTGTTCTTCTCCCAGGCATGACTGAAATTCCTCTTCCTACCAGGTAAGAGTTGTTGTTACTGTTGTTTTGTTGGTTGTTGTTGTTGTTTATTCGTTTAGTCATGTCCGACTCTTCGTGACCCCATGGACCAGCGCATGCCAGGCGCTCCTGTCTTCCACTGCCTCCCACAGCTTGGTCAAACGCATGCTGGTAGCTTCGAGAACACTGTCCAACCATCTCGTCCTCTGCCGTCCCCTTCTCCTTGTGCCCTCCATCTTTCCCAACATCAGGGTCTTTTCCAGGGAGTCTTCTCTTCTCATGAGGTGGCCAAAGTACTGGAGCCTCAGCTTCAGGATCTGTCCTTCCAGTGAGCACTCAGGGCTGATTTCCTTAAGAATGGATAGGTTTGATCTTCTTGCAGTCCTTGGGACTCTCAAGAGTCTCCTCCAGCACCATAATTCAAAAGCATCAATTCTTCGGCGATCAGCCTTCGTTATGGTCCAGCTCTCACTTCGATACATCACTATGTTTTGTTGGTGTTGTAGGCTTAAGAACAACAACAACAATTTGTGATAATGAGAACTTGTATGCATGCCTGTAATTTGCCCAGCTGTCATTTTCCTTTTCCTTTTTGCAGAATTTGGAATATTGTGCTTAATTATTATTATTTGTCCACACTTTGAGCCAAAATTGCCAATCATTTCCCCTCTGCTTTTCTTCAAATTAGGATAATAGAAACTTGCTGATTGAGTAAAACCTCAAAAAAGAGAGAGTAGAAAGCAAGCATTTCTACAAAGCAGAAAACCTATATAAAGCAAGCATTTATGTTTTGTACTGTTATGATATATTCGGAAACAAGAGGTCTTGTGTGCTTGTGCTTGGGAGATTGAAGATGTATATTGATGCTCTATATTTACTCCAGGATATAACATTTGCTGCATAAAGTGTGGAGATGGTCTTCCTCTGGGGAACCAACCCAGATTAATTAGGAACGGTGTGGGTGGCGCTGTGGGTTAAACCACAGGGCCTAGGACTTGCCAATCAGAAGGTCAGTGGTTCGAATCCCCACGATGGGGTGAGCTCCCGTTGCTCAGTCCCTGCTCCTGCCAACCTAGCAGTTCGAAAGCACATCAAAGTGCAAGTAGATAAATAGGTACTGCTCCAGCAGGAAGGTAAACGGCGTTTCCGTGCGCTGCTCTGGTTCGCCAGAAGTGGCTTAGTCATGCTGGCCACATGACCCGGAAGTTGTACGCTGGCTCCCTCGGCCAATAAAGCGAGATGAGCGCCGCAACCCCAGAGTCGGTCACGACTGGACCTAACGGTCAGGGGTCCCTTTACCCTTTACCTTTACCTTTAGCTTAGTGAGTTGGGAAACCCAGAATGTTCCTTCCCTTCTGTTCCCACTTGATATGTTTCATGCTGCCGCCATTGAAACCCTTGTTGTCACAGGACAGGAAGAAGGTGCAATGCCTGAATTGGAAGAGAGGTTGATGTCACCTACCACCCCAAATTCCCCGAAATGCATGAGGGTCAAAGGAAGCCTGCAAGCATGAGCTGGCCCCAGTTGGCTGGGGCTGGGAGGAAAGTGAGCCTGACATTTCAGCTTGGTGCCCCAATGGGTTGCAGAGGGAACTTGACTCTGACAGTGTGTATATCTGGGATCCCAGTCCTCTCCTCACTGTGATCATTGAACTATGGTTACCAGATTTTTTTCAATGAATCCGGGGACACTTTTTTTTTTTGGAAGCTGAGTAGCAACAGGGAGTCAGTTGTGAGGATGGTGAGGCAAAAGACCCTGGGCCCAAGCACACATGCATTTTGTATTAAGGTGCAAAGCCCTTCTTTTGCACCCTGTGAAACATAAATGCGCAGAGTTTTTTAAAAACTGGGCAATGGCGTACCGCCTGCCCATGACTCCTGAACCTCCCCTGATCTCCTGCCTCCTTCCTCCTTTGTTTTGACTGATCGGGGGAGGCTTGGGAGTCACAGGCGGGTGGCTGTTGCCCAATTTTTTAAAAAACTCTGCACATTTATGTTTCACAGGGTGCAAAAGAAGGGCTTTGCACCTTGCCTGGCAGAGAAACCACATGCCTTGCACCCCTCCTGGGCAGCGCCTGCCCACCCATGACCCCTGAGCCTCCTCCAATCTGTCAAAACAAAGAGGGAAGGGGGAAGGAGATCTGTACCGCTGGACGTCCCCAGTTCCCCTTTGGCAGTGGCGGCGGCAGCGAGCAGCTCCTGAAGCCAGCCAGAGCTGACTGCGCTACCATGCTGGCTCTGGGCTGCTGAGGCTGCCACTGCCATGTTTCCCGGGGACAGATTTGCAAATCTGGGGATGGAATTTGTCCGGGGACAGATTTGCAAATCGGGGGACTGTCCCCGGGAACTGGGGACATCTGGTAACGCTACATTAAACTGCATCACAGCATCATGGATGTAGGTGGTGAGGAGGTCGTGGAAGACAGGCTTCATCTGAGCCCAGTTTTTCTTCCCATACTTTTGAAATGTTACATGTTACATACTTGGCTTAAAGAAGGCATCCCCAAACTCGGTCCTCCAGCTGTTTTGGGACTACAACTCCCATCATCCCTAGCTATCAGGACCAGTGGTCAGGGATGATGGGAATTGTAATCCCAAAACGGCTGGAGGGCCGAGTTTGGGGATGCCTGCCTTAAAGGAATGTTAACTTCTCAAAGCCTTAAAAAACGTCTGCCCCATTCCCCCCCTCTCTTCCTAGGTTCATGTTTATCTTGCTGGGTCCATTAGGGAAAGGACAACAGTACCATGAGATTGGAAGGTCCATGGCTACCCTCATGACTGATGAGGTACAGTAAAATAAAAAATATATTTTCACCCCTTTTGTTTGCATTGCTTTGCCTTTCTGCCATAATTCGAGCTTCAGGAAGAATGTCACAATGATAAGAGAATAGAAATGCAAAACTGTTGCTAGAAATATGAGACATTTTGCTCAGGCTGCTACCCATGTTGTGAAATTCAATTTTTAAAACAATAAGAAGCAGATATATTAACATTATACATTAGAATAAACTATATGAGCATTGTTTGGGACAGATTATGGAAAGCATATAATACTGCAATGGTCATCCGACCCATTCTATATTCAACCACACTCTTTTTTTGAAGTAGAAGCCTTTCGTGGCTTGGTAAAAGACTTTATACCCCAACAGCCTGCATATTGCTCCCACTTACAAGATAATGCAATGAAAAATATGCAATGAAAATTATAATGCAGTGAAAAATATCTTGTTACCTATTTTTCAGGACAAACAAACCAATAGCTGAGATTGCAAATTATTTATCCGGCAAAACATCATGCAAATTTCATATGGCTTTGTTGTTGTTGTATGTAATGTAACAGACCGATGGCTTTGTCTTGATCTCCTGTCTACAGATTTTCCATGATGTTGCTTATAAAGCTAGGAACCGTAATGACCTTTTAGCTGGGATTGATGAATTTCTAGATCAGGCGACGGTGCTACCACCTGGAGAATGGGATCCATCAATTAGAATTGAGCCACCAAAAAATCTCCCTTCCCAGGTAAATAATGACTTTCTTCTCCGGTACACTAGAACACGATGGCTGTGTTTTTGGAAGCGATGCCTTTGTACTCCGTAGGTTGGTCCCTTGATTAGGCGGACAGTGTTAATAGTGTAATCAAAACCATGTTACATTTTAAGGCTTTCCACCTGCTTGCCCACACTAGGGCCCTGAAGGAGAGTCTGTTCAGCCTTTTTGGAACATTGAACTATAGGGGAAAGGCCCAAGTTGTCTCTCATATGCTATTGCTCATGATGTACAGGATTTGGCTTTCGGTACCTTTGTTGTATTGGGACGCAGGTGGCGTTGTGGGTTAAACCACAGAGCCTAGGACTTGCTGATCAGAAGGTCGGTGATTCGAATTCCTGCGATGGGGTGAGCTCCCGTTGCTCGGTCCCTGCTCCTGCCAACCTAGCAGTTTGAAAGCACACCAGTGCAAGTAGATAAATAGGTACCGCTCTGGCGGGAAGGTAAACGGCATTTCAGTGCGCTGCTCTGGTTCACCAGAAGCGGCTTAGTCATGCTGGCCACATGACCCCGAAGCTGTATGCCGGCTCCCTCGGCCAGTAAAGCGAGATGAGCGCCACAACCCCAGAGTCGGCTACGACTGGACCTATTGGTCAGGGGTCCCTTTACCTTTACCTTTGTTGTAAACATCACTTTTTGAGAGTTTGTCCAGTGGAAACAAATGACTTGCTGCAGGCTGAAACAAAAGGGAAATAATATGGGTGGGGTTTTTTTTCTGTCCACAATGAACTGAAATAATTGAAAGCATCTGGCTTTGTCTAACCCTTTTGTCTGGAAGGAGTTGTACTATCTGTGACCTGCCAAGCTGAATGCAGCTCACCAGGCATGTAGCCTGTTAGAGGCTCAGTAATCATCATCTTCTTCTTCTTCTTCTTCTTCTTCTTCTTCTTCTTCTTCTTCTTCTTCTTCTTCCCTGACTGTCTAGACCAGGCTTCCTCAATCTCGGCCCTCCAGATGTTTTGAGACTACAATTCCCAGCATCCCTGACCACTGCTCCTGCCAGCTAGGGATCATGGGAGTTGTAGGCCAAAAACATCTGGAGGGCCGAGGTTGAGGAAGCCTGGTCTAGACTGCTAATGCACTTGTCAGAGCAGAATATACTGAGTTCAATCAATCAAACCTTTATTGCATTAGCATACAGCCATAGCAGGATAAGACAAAAATGCTAGAGACAAGCAACCAAACAAAATTCAAAGTGATATTACTGGCGTTATGACATTTAAATTACCCTAAGACAATAATGTAAAGATTTAGTTGCCAGCGCCGGGAATCTAAAATGCGGATGTATATAAAGCATATAATGGCCCAAAATAGGCTCGGCACATTAGGTTAAAAAGGTAATAAAAAGAATTAAAACAGGTCCAGGTCTAGGACACACTACCCAGTCAGAGTAGCCCTGAGTTTCAAAGCCTGCACTATAAAGATTGCCACCCCACGTGTAATTTGGGGATTTGCGTCCACAAGAAGCGATTTCAAACAGTCTTCCTTAGATGTGATGGTGGACGGGATCAAGAGGAGGAGCTTAGTTCTTATTAGCTCATAAATAGGGCAGTAGAAAAAGAAATGTATGAAGTCCTCTACTTCATTCATTGTGCATGGACATAGACGCTGAGTAATAGGGGTCTTAGAGTAAATCCCCTGCAGGAAGGCCGTGGGTATAGAATGGAAACGGGCCATGGTAAACGCTCTTCTCAAATTGGGCTCCGTCAGGTCTATCAAGTAGTTGGCAAGTGATCTTACCACTTTCACTTTAGGGAGCCACATGGAGAGGCGAGCTGTGGTGGACTGTGCCCGGTCCATGGCCTCGTCTCTTGTAAGAATCCAGGCCCGGATTTTATGTTGGTCCCAAGATGACAGCGTGTCAAGATCTGGGAGGGAGTAGCGTGCAGTAATAGTCTCCATGGCCTTGGACCATTTGTTGCTATGAGAACAAGTTAAAAATATACTGAGTTGAGTTGGAGTGTTTACCTATTATGGTGGAAGAATGTGGCCGACTTGGCTCACATTTGTAGTCTTTTGTTGCAAATTTGCGACTCCATCACCCAAATATATCTTTCGATGATTTCAGTCATTCTCCCTTGCTGCCCCTTTTGCCTAGAACCCCATCTCATTTCCTTCTTTCAAATTCCATCTCAAAGCACCTTGATTCCTACTTTCCTACAGAAATTATGGACAAAGATAATGAACCCGTTGGGTGATTGCTTCAGTGTCAGGACAGAGGATAGCCTGCCATAAATATAGCATGCCTTCATAGGCATTACACTGATTGACTCAATCCACTGTCTATTGCTTCTTTCTTTCCTTATTTTCACTTTCTTAGTTCCATTCAAGCCCAAATGCTGTTTTCATGTCTGGATTGGCTCCAGTTACTTTCACTCAGTTAATGAACTATTCCTTGATTCCTTGGATAGAAATTAATGGGATTGTTCATAATGTTCCCACTTTATTAGGAAAAGAGAAAGTTACAGGGAACACCAGGAGCCCCTAATGGAAGCATTAGCCAAGAGGACGCAGAAGATGATCATGGTGGGCCAGAACTCCAGCGAACGGGAAGGTATGTTCTAGGTGCCTCAAATGGTTTCTGCTATAGGCCACCTTCCCTCTTCCATAGCACTAGAGCTTGCTGAGTGTTTATGGTCATCCAACAAAATTGGCAGTAGATTCAAGGCAGACAAAATAAACCACAATTCTTCACACAACAGATAATTTAAAGTATGACCTTCACTGCCACACAAGTTGGTGATACACAAGTACAACTTCTGTTTTTGAAACATTGGTCCAGGTGGCTTTCATAGCATGGAGGGCCCTAGTCAGAAGGCTAGTTAGAAGTATGAAGTGACCCAGCAGTAAACCTCATTACTTTTTTATAGTGGAGATTCAGAAGTCCAAATGATTCTAGCAAGTGCAGATGCCCATTTATAAGTAATGCCCAAATTAGCCACAATTCAGGTCGTCGTTTTGTGAATTGGTCATCTGGTTGCCTATAGACAACAATTTTATAGAGGATCAAGGTGGTGTGATGAAGATATCATCCTCCACTATCTGCATGTGTGTGCGTGTGAAAACACACCCACACCCACACACCCACAACTTTCACCCCACACTCATTTGGGGTGAAATAAGATTTTTGCAGAACCTGACATGATAATTGGATGAGCACGACTAACACTACAATCATACCACTTTCAACTATGCCTCTGTCCCTCTTTTGTTATCTCCCCTGTGGAAATCAAATGATGTGTCTGCCCACCTTTTTCTTGTTCATCTCCCTGTATTTTCTTTGCAGGCTGTTTGGTGGCTTGATCTTGGATGTGAAACGGAAGGTTCCTTGGTACTGGAGCGACTATAAAGATGCTATGAGTTTGCAGTGCTTAGCTTCCTTCCTCTTCCTGTACTGTGCCTGCATGTCTCCTGTGATCACCTTTGGGGGGTTGCTGGGAGAAGCAACAGAGGGAGAAATAGTAAGAAAGTTCCCCCTTCTCCTTTCATGTGTTATGAATAATTCCTAGGTAGCACTGCAAAAAAGCAGCAAGCATTTAACTTAACTGCTGCTCTTCTACATTTCAGGTTTGTGTGCTGTTCAGCATTAATAGAGCCAATGTTTTTATCTCACTGTGACAGACTTCATCACTCAGTTTGTGTGGCTAGTGACACATCTCTGAAGTTATGGAATTTTAAACCCCCAGGAGAATGTGGCCTTCAGATGTTCATTTTTTACAGAAGACACATTCTCCATAATCTCTTTTAGAACAGAGGGTGAGGGTATGTACTTAGGATTCCTCACCTTGACAGATGGCCTCTGAACACTTTTCAACCATGCTTTGTATTCAGTCAGAAAATGCTCAGTGTTTGGATTTCCTTTTTAATTGATTTACTAGACTTATAGACAGAATGCAATACTTAAAGGACATTCATGAGTCTGAATATAAATTAAAGGGTGACAGCTATTCGGGAGTAAGTTGATCCATAATAATAAGGAGTGTGAGAAATAACCTGCCACTGCAGAAAGCAGAGGCTGAGGGCTATTGAACCTGAAAACTGGTGCTATTTGAAATTGCTTCCTGAGCTATCTATCTCCACACAGTTAGCCTATTTGTAGGGAAAGGATGATTTTTCTTTATATTGCTGCACCTCCCCAACTCACCACAAACTCTGCCAAAAGAAATATGTGGTGGTGGTGAGACAATCAAGCAATCATTGCAAAGAGAATGCCGAAGAAGCCAAAACATGGAGGCTGTTCTATAGGTATCAGAATCTCTGAAAGTTCTAATTTCGCCTCCGCTGTAGAATTTGTAGTTAGTTAGGTGAGCTGAATAGACCAATAGTCTGACTCAACATGGCCACCCTTCTGTTTTTACCTGTTCACACCTGCAGAGTGCAATAGAATCTTTGCTTGGAGCCTCAATGACCGGGGTGGTGTATTCCCTCTTCGCTGGTCAGCCTCTCACCATCTTGGGAAGTACTGGGCCGGTACTGGTCTTCGAGAAGATTTTATTCAAATTCTGCAAGTAAGGCTGTGTGCTCTCCTAAGGGGCAAACAATTGTTATAGTTTGACAAAAGGACGTGGAAGAGAGACAGAGACAGACAGAGACAGAGAGAGGGCGGTCGGTCGGTCTAGTGAATGGACCTAATGTTTCTCCCCTTACCATACTTCCCTGCTTTGGTGTGATCTGGGGCTAATCGTGATGCATAGCAAGCCAGGGGGGCAAGTGATGTGGGAAATGGCAACCTGCCATGATTTTGCTCCTCATGATTTGCTATGTTGTCCCCTAAGTTTTTAGGGATGCCGGTGGCGCTGTGGGTTAAACCACAGAGCCTAGGGCTTGCCGATCGGAAGGTCGGCAGTTCAAATCCCCGCAACGGGGTGAGCTCCCGTTGTTCGGTCCCAGCTCCTGCCCACCTAGCAGTTTGAAAGCTCGTCAGAGTGCAAGTAGATAAATAGGTACCGCTCTGGCGGGAAGGTAAATGGCATTTCCGTGCGCTGCTCTGGTTTCCCAGAAGCGGCTTGGTCATGCTGGCACATGACCCGGAAGCTGTACACCGGCTCCCTTGGCCTGTAAAGTGAGACGACTGGTCCTAATGGTCAGGGGTCTCTCTACCTCTCTTTTACCCCTAAGTTTTATGTTGTGAATTGCCCTGATATCTGTGAATGAATTTAATAAGTGGAGAGGGACAATGCCCCCCTCCTCTTTACTCTCACAGAAATGGTTGAATGCCATCAACCAAGATTCTGAACATTGGAAGTTCAATTATTTAATTAAATTCATTTGTTTCCAGTCCTTCAATGTGGTCCACATCCAGTGGAAAAGACACATGGGGAGAGCCCTACCCACATGGCGTTGGGCCTCTAAACTTTAAAAAAGTGGCAGAAGATAAAGCGATGTCATCTGTGATTAAAAGGGTTTATTGTGGCTGGAGATAATATTTATGACTGTGTGTAATCAGTAGTTGAATTCAACTGGACTTAACCGTCCAGGGATCCTTTACCTTTACCGTTTAAGGATGGTAGAGTTTGGCCACAAAGCAAAACAGAGTCAATAGCATTTTAGGATCATTTACTTAACTCTATATTGCATTGTAGCTTTTTTCTGTTCTGATTATGGGTTTGAATTAAATACTTTCTGCAAGGGAGAGAGTCTAAATTGGTCTTCTTCTTCTTTTTTGCAGAGACTATGACCTAAATTATCTCTCTCTACGAACTTGCATTGGCCTGTGGACTACATTCATGTGCGTCCTCCTTGTAGCAACTGATGCCAGCTGCCTTGTGTGCCACATAACTCGCTTTACAGAAGAAGCGTTTGCCTCTTTGATCTGCATCATTTTCATCTATGAGTCTCTAGAGAAACTGATTAAGTTGGAGAGAACCTACCCATTTCATATGCACACGGATCTTGATCAACTGAGCTTGTATTAGTGAGTTACTGTTGCTCTTCTTGTTTAAATGTAGCCTATTGATTTTTCTTTCGGTTTGTTTGAATTCACTGAGTGCTCTGAGAATGTCTGATGCACAGAACTGGGAACAGTGGCGTAGCGTGGGGGGTGCAGGGGGGGCCGGCCGCACCGGGCGCAACATCTGGGGTTAGGGCAAATCCACAGGTTAGGGGGCACAAATCCACGGGTTAGGGGGCGCAAATTACTTGCCTTGCCCCGGGTGCTGACAACCCACGCTATGCCACTGACTGGGAAGCAAAGGAATTGCCCCAGCAATGGTTAAGCAAATACTAGTGCATGATAGATTCACTGAAATGAACACGCTATAATAAAAATAGATCTAGGTATATCATTCCATTCATATATTGGAGGCAGTGGAGGAAATAATTTTAGTTGGATGGAGCTCATTTAGTGAAGAAGATAACAGAGGTCATTCAAAGGATTTTTATGCTGTACAGTTACACATATACACAGACCCACACTTTCTCTCTCTGGTATGGATATTGGCATTTTCAATTTATAAAGGTTAATTTATAAGCATTTTGGGCACCTATTAGCCATGGCCCATACCGTAGCATAGGGTGCATTCCTTGACCTATTTCTCAAGGGGGTTGTTGTGTGTGCTGTTTATTTAATGGTTGTTATATCTGCCAGCACATCTGTTCCAGGTGGAGTCTGCTACAGCTGCTTGTTCTTCTTGTTATTTTCATACCCGCCCATCTAGCTGGGTTGCCCCAGCCATTCTGTGCTGCTTCCAACAAATATAAAAACACAGTAAAACATCAAACATTAAAAGCTTTCCGATACAGGGCTGCCTTCAGATGTCTTCTAACAGTTGTATAGTTATTTATTTCCTTGACATCTGATGGGAGCGCGTTCCACAGGGCGGGTGCCACTACCGAGAAGGCCCTCTGCCTGGTTCCCTGTAAACTCACTTCTCACAGTGAGGGAACTGCCAGAAGGCCCTTGGCGCTGGACCTCAGTGTCCAGGCTGAACGGTGGGGATGGAGACACTCCTTCAGGTATACTGGGCCAAGGCTGTTTAAGGCTTTAAAGGTCAGCACCAACACTTTGAATTCTGCTACCCATACTGTGGCATAGGGTGCATTCCTCAAGCTATTTCTCAAGGGGGTTCTTGTGTGTCCCATTTATTTACTGATTGTTATACCTGCCAGCACTTCTGTTGCAGGTGGAGTCTGCAGGGACGATCAAGAAAGTGAAACTAGAGTTCAGACAGGGAATTAGGACCATGGACAGCTCCAAATTCTGGCTGCATATAGGCAGCAGCCATTACCAGGCAGACTAGAATATTGCTCTAGCAATGGTCTGGAGCTAACGGAAGCTTCGTACAGTGGACACGCGGGTTACGATTCGGCGCTTATGCACATGCACAAAGTGCGATTTAGTGCTTCTGCGCATGCGCGACTGCCGAAACCCGGAAGTAACCCATTCCGGTACTTCTGGGTTTCAGCGGTCCGTAACCTGAAAAAACGCAACCTGAAGTGTCTGTAACCCAAGGTATGACTGTAGTAATGAGGAACTACTGGTTTGTAAACTGGTCACGTGATCCATCCAGGCATGGAAGTAAAGTCAAAGAGGGAAGGCAGGGCCACCAGTTCAGGCCATGTAGTTAAAAGCAGCTCTGTTGAGTTTCTCCTCTTATGAAGGATTTGGACAGAACAAAGTCTCAATTGTGGGAATGATTCCCAAGTAAATGTTTTCCGAATGGAGGTGCTTACCACAAATGGAACAATATGGTTTTTGTGCTTTCCCCCACTCCATCCCAAATGGATATGCCATTTTGCTTTGGGATGTAAACAAGGCTGTCTTTTGAGACATTCTCAGTGTGCTTTGTTAACCGTTTCCTTTGCCTGTCAGCTGCAGGTGTTCAGCCCCAGCGAATCCCAGCAATGAGACCCTGCAGTACTGGAAAGAAAACAACATCATTCCTTCAGCCGTCACATGGGCTAATCTCACAGTCTCCGTAAGTCTCTGGTCTTTGCAGCAACCCCGCCCCCCCCCCGTTGGAGATGGGTTGATGTCTGTAGCACAGCATTACCAATTGATTAGATCAGAATTTATTAAACCAATAATATTAGCCCTTTTTTTAAAAAACATGTGTACCCTTAAAGTTCTTGTCTACAATTACTACAATCCTGCCTTTCCTCAAAGGAACTTCATGGCTGTGTACTGATTTGAAATTAGGCTTCCCTGATCCTTTTCTGACACGCCCACTAATGCACTACATCAGGCATCCCCAACCTTCGGCCCTCCAGATGTTTTGGACTACAGTTCCCATCATCCCTGACCACTGGTCCTGTTAGCTAGGGATCATGGGAGTTGTGGGCCAAAACATCTGGAGGGGATGCCTGCACTACATTAGCTTTCAGTGGGTTGCAGCAGAACTGTTGTAGTAAAATATGTACAATTATACCTTGGTTTATGAACTTAATCCGTTCCGGAGGTCTGTTCTTAAACCGAAACCATTCTTAAACCACAGTGCGCTTTCCCTAATGAGGCCTCCCACTGCCAATGCCCTTCCACCGTTCGGATTCCGTTCTTAGACCGAGGTAAAGTTTGCAAACTGAGACACTACTTCCAGTTTTGCAGAGTTTGTAAACTGAATCGTTCGTAAACAGGACTTAAACTGAGGTACCACTGTATTTGCAAAAAGAAAATATGGAAACATAGCATTTTAAAAATCAAAAGCATGTTCCTTCATTGCTGGAGAAGAACTGTTTGAGAAAATAATGGTTTTGGCTTTTTGTTCACATATTGCTGACAAGCCAATTAAGTTTGATGAACTGCTGACAGAACCTGTCTGAACCTTGTTTAAGCCACTGTTTTATTTATTTGTTTCAACAATTTCCTTTTTTTTAAATAAAATTTTTATTAAGATTTTTACATTACAAAATAGAAAAAGAAAATAAAAGAAAAAAATACAAACTAAAAATAGTTAAAAACAATCAATCTTTTCATCACATTATTTTTCATTTACTTGTTTCTCGGACCTCCTCATACCTCCCTTTTTTGTATTTGTGTTTCAACAATTTCCAACCTATGTTAGTCAGTTTGGTTTATTGTGTTTAGCAAGCAGCCTTTACACACATAAAATAATAATAATAACAGGGATACTGCTACTAAGAATGATTTACATTTCTACTCCCTGACCCCTAATGGATAAATCACTTCCCGTCCCCCCCCTCAAGTTTTGTTACACAAATCTGTAAAGCCTTAACAAGAAATTTAAATGTTCTAAAGGATATACAGTGGTACCTCAGGTTACATACGCTTCAGGTTACATACGCTTCAGGTTACAGACTCCGCTAACCCAGAAATATTACCTCAGGTTAAGAACTTTGCTTCAGGATGAGAACAGAAATCGTGCAGCAGCAGCGCAGTGGCAGTGGGAGGCTCCATTAGCTAAAGTGGTGCTTCAGGTTAAGAACAGTTTCAGGTTAAGAACGGCTCTCCGGAATGAATTAAGTACTTAACCTGAGGTACCACTGTATATCTCTCAACACCTGACAGCAAAAAACAGGTCTTTGAAAGAGACGACCTTCCCTTCTGTGATCTTGGCAATGGGCATAGCTGTCAACCTTCCCTTTTTTTGCGGGAAATTCCCTTATTTCAGCGCTGTTTCCTGCTGCTTCCTGCTGCTCTCCCGGATTGTTAGATATCCCGTAGACTGTCTCCGGAACAGGTGAGGCTGCTGATCCCTTATTTTCAAATCTGAAGGTTGACAGCTATGTCAATGGGTGGATGTAATTGTTTCTGAGATCATCATAGAAAGGGCACTCAAGGAGTACGTGAGTTATGCTTTCTATTGATACAGAGTTGCAGCCGCAAATTCTATCCTTCTTAGGAACTCCTTTATGTTGGCCATTCCAGTCTGCTAATGGAACGACATTTAGTCTTGCCTGTGTGAAGGCTGTCCTCATTTTAACATTTGGTAAATCTACCAGATATCTTGGCAGGGATGGGTGCAATGGGATAAAAGAAGCATACAATTTATTCGATTGACAGATGTTGATCTCAACCACTTGAGATTGCATCTCAGTGTCTCCCAGCCTTTCGAGTATTAATTATTTAGCTCTCTCAAAACACTGCGTCACAAGAAAGGGGGCAGAGAGTCCCAAGTTGTGGCAGCAAGCTGAATTTCACGTTTCCACAAGGTGGGAGCCTTATCTTCAAACGTTGTCATGAAAGATTCTGATATCTGCTTAAAAAATAGTTTTTAATCCCAAAAGCAGAGCTAGTCTAATGGCTTTGGCTTTAATGGGCATTACACCCAGTTCTGCACGGAGTAGTGCTAGTTTTGTAGAAATAGGGACTGACAGGAGTCTGCGCGAATAATTATTTTGAGCTCTCTGCAGTGAGTCTAAATTGGCCATGGCCCACAGTGGTGCTTCACAGTGGTGCTCTGGTCTTATAAAGTTCTAAAGTGGGCTGAAACCAAGTTGCCCCCTTTTGTACAGTGGAATCGTAATAGACCATTTAAAGTTCTATGAGCTAATAGTGTGCTTGATTGGACCTATGCGGACCATTTGCCTGTTCATACAACAGTTTTAAGGGACGCAGGTAGCACTGTGGGTTAAACCACAGAGCCTAGGACTTGCCGATCAGAAGGTCGGCGGTTCGAATCCCTGCAACGGGGTGAGTTCCCGTTGCTCAGTCCCAGCTCCTGCCAACCTAGCAGTTTGAAAGCACGTCAAAGTGCAAGTAGATAAATAGGTACCGCTCCAGTGGGAAGGTAAATGGCGTTTCCGTGCACTGCTCTGGTTCGCCAGAAGTGGCTTAGTCATGCTGGCCACATGACCCGGAAGCTGTATGCTGGCTCCCTTGGCTAATAAAACGAGATGAGCGCTGCAACCCCAGAGTCGGCCACGTCTGGGCCTAACGGTCATGGGTCCCTTTACCTTTAGCTTTACAACAGTTTTAATATTTGGGAAAGGCTCGTCTTTTGGAAGAGCTGTTGTGGGCTACTCTAATGGTTCTCTGGCATCCAGCTTTAATACTTATGACGTGTCCACACCAGTGTTCCTTATTATATTTAATGTCCTCATCCCTGCCTTGCCCTTACTTTTTTAAAGTAACTATCTGAACCATGACATACTTGATCATGGCCCAACTTTATCATGGTATTAAGTGCCGAACACGTTCTGCATGTTCATGCCTCCACATTTAAGGATTGTGGGCTTGGGATTCTCCCACCCAAGCAATGTTGAATTTGCATAACAGCATCCATGCACACACAGGCTGTTCTGCTGAATAGTAGAGTATCACATTTAGCCCAAATGGAGACTTTATTTCAACTTCATTTTGCCCATTCTTACCTGGTAGGGATTGCCAACCTATGCCCACCTTGATTGTTGGACTGCAGCTCCCACAATCCTTGGCCCTTGGCCATGTTGGTTGAAGATGAGTGGAGTTGGGAGCCCAGCAATCCGGAGAGCCACATCTCCCCCCTGCTGCAAGTTTAGTATTCAAATTGAGCAGCCCTAATTTATTCAAGGGGACACGGGTGGCGCTGTGGGTTAAACCACAGAGCCTAGGGCTTGTCGATCAGAAGGTTGGCGGTTCGAGTCCCTGTGACGGGGTAAACTTCCGTTGTTCGGTCCTTGCTCCTGCCCACCTAGCAGTTCGAAAGCACATCAAGTGCAAGTAGATAAATAGGTACCGCTCCAGCGGGAAGGTAAACAGCGTTTCCGTGCGCTGCTCTGGTTCGCCAGAAGTGGCTTAGTCATGCTGGCCACATGACCCGGAAGTTGTACGCTTTCTCCCTCGGCCAGTAAAGCGAGATGAGTGCCACAACCCCAGAGTCGGCCACGACTGGACCTAACGGTTAGGGGTCCCTTTACCTTTACCTTTAATTTATTCAACTGTTCATTGCATCTAATAATCACTGATGTTGCCATGCCTGCTGCCTGGGCTTTCTTTTCAATGCTTTGATTACACTTGTTTGTTCAGAAATGCCGGAAGATGCTTGGAGAATTCACAGGACCTTCATGTGGCGTTGATGGACCTTTCACCCCAGATGTTTATTTTTGGTGCTGCATTTTGTTTTTTACCACCTTTATCCTGTCGAGTACGCTGAAGAAATTTAAGACCAGTAGCTATTTCCCAAAAAGAGTAAGTAGATAGCAGTAGTGAGCACAGCAAATTCAAACCCTGACAGGTGTATGCTGTCTACCCTGTGTAACAATGACTGGCTGAATTATTTTTCTCTGTTCTGCATAATTACCACATTACCCTGGTCACATGAACAGGCTGGATTATTATTATTATTTGGAGGGGAGGACTTTCTGCTTATATTCAACTCTACCCTGTGGGGTAAATTAAGGCACCTGGCATTTACCATGGGGAGGGCCAAAAGGTGGCCCTGTTTGTGGCCAGCATCTGGAGCAGTGGCAAAGGAGAGACATTGCTTCTCTCTCTTTCACAATGGCAGAGTACAGAGTTGTAGCAGATACAATAAGCAGCAGCAGCAGGTGAGGGTCAGGTATCAGGGAGGGGCAAAGTTAGGGTTGCCATATTACGGAGAGCAAAAAACAGGACACATTTGCCAACTTCTACTTTTTGCTATGGATCGCTATGGCAACTCTCATTTTACATACCCATGAGAAAGAGGGTGTGTCCTGGAAAAAGGGGACAGGTGACAAAGTGGCAGTGAGGTTGGCATGCTGCAAACAAGCAGGCAGAGCCAATCCAGTGCTCTTGCTGGTGTGTTTGCACCATGATGACCTTGTCACTGCCTTCCTCTTCTATTTCCTGGTCAGCAACAGAAATGTGACTGACAGGAGACCAGGTGAACAGAGACACCTCACCTCACTATGCCATTTGCTACTGAGTGCAGAGACTTTGGGCTGCATGAAGGAACTAATGAACTAAACGAGACATTTTACTTGCTTGGGTTATGTGCTCAGCTTTTACCTGCATTTTGAGTTGTAATCTGGATTCAGATAGACAAAGCGTTTTCTGTTGCCCCACCTAGGCTGGTATTGTAACCTCCCCATCTGCCCTTGCAGTATGTGGTTTGGCCCTCCTGTTTTTAGGGCATTTTTGAGCATCCACCTATTCTTGCCTTCTGCTAACTTATTTAATTATGCATTTTTTTTTATTTATGCATTTACTCCCCACCCGTCTTCCGAGGTGGCGTGCACAATTCTCTGCCTCCTGTGAAATGGGTTAAGCCGAGAGAAAGTGATCATCCAGGGAGCTTCATGGCTGAGTGGGAATTTGAACCCTTCCTCCAAGGTCTCAGTCTGACGCTCTAACCACTACACCACAGTGGCTCTCATACTGCATTGTGTTCTTGCATTAATTTGCAAATAGGATAGTGTGCAAACAGTCCTGCATTGCGGTGAGGCGGCTTAACTCACGGCTTTCAGGCCTGCAGTCCTTTTCAGCCCCTGTCTCAGCCATCTGCATACTAATTAACCTGCTAAGTGCTCTGCTAACCAACATATATCCTCTTGCTAAGCCCTCTCTTGCTTTTTTTTGCAACAGGTTCGTTCAACAGTAGGTGATTTTGCTATTTTCATTACCATTGCTATCATGGTTCTAATTGACTACTTAGCTGGAATCCCATCTCCAAAGCTACATGTTCCCAGGGTCTTCAAGGTAGGCACCTTTCTTTTGATGATAGATTTGATGTGGCTTCTTAAGTGCAGCTAGCTTTTTGGTGTAGAAAATAAGGGATGTCTATGTGATTGGGGCAGAAGAGGACAGCACCATACCAGGTTCTGTCTGTGTTCTGGAGGGGAGTTAATATTTCATAGCTAAATGTGCATAGGGGGAACTGAGGTTTGGGAGTTGTGTATACTATTTGCAGTGGATCTGGCAGAGAGATGCAGCTAGGTAATTTTAGACTCTGGGCTTAAATGTCTTAGACATCACCAGGATAGTAATGTGTATTACGACACTTACTTCAAAATGTGGTAAGTCATCCCTGCAGTATTCCTATACCTTTTGCTGAGAGGGGCTCTGGACATCTGCCCCAATTGGGCATAGGTAGATTACAGGCCAATGAGGCAAGGTGTAGAGTACAGGAGGCGAGAGGAATTCATGGCTTGAAATAAGCAGGTGGGTGTTTAAAAGCAGAGTGGGAAGCAGAAAGATGAAAACGCTAAAGAATTGTGGAATTAGAAGTTGGTGGCTCTGTCGTCCAGAAGCGACACTGTGGAAACAAGCAAAGGTTGCGGACGGTCCCATCATAACTGAAAATGCTTGAAAGATGCTTGTGCATGGTAAAATATTTTTGTCTTGCTACCTTAAGAAAAGGGACGCGGGTGGCGCTGTGGGTTAAACCACAGAGCCTAGGACTTGCCGATCAGAAGGTCGGCGGTTCGAATCCCTGCGACGGGGTGAGCTCCCGTTGCTCGGTCCCTGCTCCTGCCAACCTAGCAGTTCGAAAGCGCGTCAAAGAGCAAGTAGATAAATAGGTACCGCTTCCCGCAGGAAGGTAAACGGTGTTTCCGTGCGCTACTCTGGTATGCCAGAAGTGGCTTAGTCATTCTGGCCACATGACCCGGAAGCTGTACGCCAGCTCCTTCGGCCAGTAAAGTGAGATGTGCGCCGCAACCCCAGAGTTGGTCACGACTGGACCTAACGGTCAGGGGTCCCTTTCCCTTTTACCTTAAGAAAAACACTCCAAGGGTGGATTCAGGGGACCATGTTTATTCTTCTCTGCAATTAACGTTTTGCTTTGCGAAACCTAAAGCCCTCTGCTGGACTTGGCATGTGGCTCCACTCCACATTCCCTAAAGTGGTGGTATTCAAATGTCCTCCCCATCACAGTGCTAAGGAACCCCAGCATGGCCAGCTGTGGGATCCCTACATGTTGCGGATGAATCCTGAGCTTATTCTAGAGTACACAGTTCAAGAATCCTCTCCAGGTGTGTGTTATAGGGAAAGATGGCAAATTGGCTGACTTTTGGGTCATTTGCCTGCCATTAACCACCTTCTCATTGAGAACCTCCACTAATTTTCGGAGGGTTTCCCATTGTTGCTAGGATCAAAGTTTGAAAACCACTGCCTATGAGTATTGTTACTAGTCAAAAGTAACCAATCAGGATTACTAACTGCAGGGGTTGCTGCATGGCTTATAGAATACAGCAGCAGGGTATGTCTTCTGTCCTCTCTTTCTCTTCCCATACCTCTCTCTGGTCACCCAGGCCTCTTGTTGTATTGTAGCCTTCTCCAGCCAGGTGTCCTCCAGGTGTTTTCGATGGCAACTTCCCTATTTTATTTATTTTATATTATACATATTTACCAATAACATTGTGCCTGTTATCATATTTAGTACATCCAAGGTTGACAATTGATCTCTTCTATATTGACTACGGGACATGGGTGGTGCTGTGGTCTAAACCACTGAGCCTAGGGCTTGCCGATCGGAAGGTCGGCGGTTCGAATCCCCGTGATGGGGTGAGCTCCCGTTGCTCAGTCCCAGCTCCTGCCAACCAAGCAGTTCGAAAGCACGTCAAAGTGCAAGTAGATAAATAGGTACCACTCTGGCAGGAAGGTAAATGCCATTTCCGTGTGCTGCTCTGGTTTCGCCAGAAGCGACTTAGTCATGCTGGCCACATGACCCGGAAAAACTGTCTGAGGACAAACGTCGACTCCTTCAGCCAGTAAAGCGAGATGAGCGCCGCAACCCCAGAGTCATTCGCGATTGGACTTAACTGTCAGGGGTCCTTTACCTTTACCTTTTTATATTGACTCCAGTATAAAATGCACATTGCCCAATTAAGATGGAACTTCCATAATCTCTGGCTATTGGCCATGCTGGAAGGGGCTGATGGGAGCTGGAACTCAACGGCATGTGGAAGGCGATGGATTGAGGAGGAGTGCTGTATTGCATGGATCAAGTTGGTCACTATATTGACACAAGAAGTAGTTACAGTGGTACCTTGGAACTCGAACGTAATCCATTCCGGAAGACCATTCGACCTCCAAAACGTTCAAGTTCCAAGCCGCAGCTTCTGATTGGTTCTTGCTCTCAGTGGAAGCTGCATCGGATGTTTGAGTTCCGAGGGACGTTCAAAAACTGGAGCACGTCCGGGTTTTCGGCTATCGGGAACCAAAACGTTCAGCAATGGAGCCGTTCGAGTTCCGAGGTACCACTGTATTTCATAGGGCATAGGCCTATTGCCAGGATATGTGTACCTGATTTGATGAGTGTCTCAAAACTGTAAACCCTTAGGGTCATATCAAAATGTCTGACACCCCAAGCATATGGAGAGCATTTTTAAATTTAGGATGGGGAGCCGTAGGCAAGGCTGTTGTGCACCATGCTGTGACATTCTAGAATTTTCAGGACATCAAGAAGAATAGCAGCTGAGACTATTGGGCAGTGCACAAACCCTGTGTATTATTCTGCAGCCAACAAGAGACGACCGTGGGTGGCTCATTAGTCCAGTTGGTGACAATCCCGGGTGGACAGTAGTAGCAGCTATCATCCCAGCTCTGCTCTGCACCATACTGGTATTTATGGACCAGCAGATCACTGCAGTTATTGTGAACAGGAAGGAACATAAGCTTAAGGTAATGTTATACTTTGCTTGTTGAAGTCTGCAATACTTTTATTTCTGTTACTATGATATGAGAAGTATAATCATGCTGCCTACTAGGACAGCAGCATTGTGATGGCATTAAAAGGCTCAGATGAAAGATACTTAGTTGTGTTCTTTCATTTCCGTGGGTCTGCTCCGAGTAAAACTTAGTTGAATGCCACCCACTGGTTTTAATCAGTGCTTTGGTCCCATTGCAATTAGTAGCACATTAGACTAATGTAAGCCTCAGTGATTTTAATGGGACTAAAACATTACTACTCCCAGGTTTGGAGAAGTGAACATCTCATGCTACTACATTTTTGCAATGTAATGAATAAAAACTGTTCTTCCACTCAATCAAATGCCTTCCTGACACCCAGGAACACATAATTCATGCTTGTTTCTGCTGATATTCACTTTCAGCAATTACATTTATTCCTTTTCTCATATTGTGAACTGAAGCCCAACTGCTTCTAAACTCTGGTGATGATTAATATATTTTGAAAAATTCCGCAAGTGGCCAATATGACCACTTATTTTATTTTAAAAATAAGAGTGAATTTTCATCTTTTCAAGTATTTGAAAAATGGGAACATGTCTGATAATTAGTTAAGAATTCTGTGATATGTATTAGTCTTACAAAAATCTGTTATTAAATTGCTTGGAAACCAGCAGTTTATTGGGTTGTTCCAATAAACAGATAACCTGTCTCACGTTTTCTTCCATAGGTAGGCTGTTTAACATATCCTCTTCTGCACTGCTAATTTTAGGTATATCCAGATCACACAAAATGCTCTCATTAGATCTAGGTTATCTGATGAATAGGGACGCAGGTGGCGCTGTGGGTTAAAGCCTCAGCGCCTAGGACTTGCCGATCGAAAGGTCGGCGGTTCGAATCCCCGCGGCAGGGTGCGCTCCTGTCCCTCGGTCCCAGCGCCTGCCAACCTAGCAGTTCGAAAGCACCCCCGGGTGCAAGTAGATAAATAGGGACCGCTTACTAGCGGGAAGGTAAACGGCGTTCCGTGTGCTGCGCTGGCTCGCCAGATGCAGCTTGTCACGCTGGCCACGTGACCCGGAAGTGTCTGCGGACAGCGCTGGCCCCCGGCCTATAGAGTGAGATGGGCGCACAACCCTAGAGTCTGTCAAGACTGGCCCGTATGGGCAGGGGTACCTTTACCTTTACCTTTACCTGATGAATAAATGGCTTTATAAAATTCAAAAGGCAAAGTTACAATTTCTTTTTTTGTTTTGTTTTTAATAATCTCTTTCCCTGTTCTAAATTAATCAAGGTGGTAATGTTCTTCTTTTGTCTGTCCACAAACTTACTAGCAAACTTACTTATCAGCTTTATTGCCTTTCTTGAAATAGGTCGGCTTAGTAAATAAGCAGAGATCTTTCTGCTTTTAAAACAACTTGCAAAACCCAACAGTTTTCTATTGACCTCCCAGCAGATCTCAGGGTATAGGAAAATAGATATGGGAGAAAGTATGCTCTCTAACAGATTGTGTGTGTGTGTAGTTTTAACTAGTTCAAAGTACTGCCAAAAGTGAAAGAATCTTGCATCTGACAGAGGTTGGATAATCTGCTTCTTACCTACTATCATCTTCCATGGTATGAAGAACTGGGGCCTGACCTTTGCCATCAGGTGTCCTGTGACTTCTGTTGCATTTCAGGCATGTGACAAACCTTTCCCTAGAACTTGTTAGTATTTGATAGCTCTCTGAATATATAAGCTTCTAGCTGCCATCTGCTAATGACTTATATCTCCACAGAAAGGGGGCGGCTACCACTTGGACCTTCTAACGGTGGGCGTCATGATTGGTGTGTGTTCAGTGATGGGGTTGCCTTGGTTTGTTGCTGCCACCGTTCTTTCCATCAGTCATGTGAACAGCCTCAAACTGGAGTCCAGCGTGGCAGCTCCTGGAGAGCAACCTAAATTCCTGGGCATACGTGAGCAAAGAGCTACCGGATTGATGATTTTTGTACTAATGGGCCTCTCAGTTTTCATCACTAGTGCGTTGCAGGTAAAAGGAACTTTCAAGGTTACAATATGACAATAGCCCCATTTTTGGGAAAGCGCTGAAATTAGATGGTGTTGGTTTTAATATGAGAAACCAGCTTTGGCAATAGCAACTAACTCTGGATTTCTGTTCCAAAAGTGCACTTATGGTATTTGCAGAAGGTGTTTTGGAGAGATGGCCTCATTAAATGGGGGCTTTATTTCCTTCTGCTCCTCAGACTATAGGTACCTAGAGCACAGTTTTTTCTGCATTAAGTTGGAGCCAGATAATTCTCTTATACCCAAAATAGCAAAAAGATCCTTTCTCTCGGCTCCCATGGGCTACTAAATTGACATGTAGACAATTGCACAGTTAGACCCTAATAAGTGTTAGGATTGCGGCCTAGGTCTTTGCTCAGTCTGCATTTCATTGACAAGATAAGGGTTGGAAGAGTTGCCAGGAGATATCACAGAGGCAGGGAGGAGAGGCCAAGAAGGCAGATTTAGGCTTTCTTGGTGGGTCATTTTATATTATTTGCCAATACAATGACAGCTAGGAACTGTGCTTCAAGAGCTAGATGCATCCTATTAAGTGTGCCCCACAAATAAATATATAACTCATCTGTTTGTAATGCAAAGTTTGCTGCTTATTAGTTATAGTTGTCTCTATTGACTTTTTACAACCAAGCCTTTATGATTTATGAATTTTGTACTATGCTTTTAAATGCTGCTTTTACTGTTCTTGGATGCTGTTTGGAGTGTTGTTTTGGCAGAAGGTATGGTGTATAAGTGCTTGAAGTGAATGAATAAATGAATAGTGGAATGATGAGTGTACTCCTTTTCCAGTTTATACCTATGCCTGTCCTCTATGGAGTGTTCCTGTACATGGGCGTTTCTTCCCTGGACGGAATTCAGGTATGCAATTTTACTGACTTCAAGGAATTGCCCAAAAGAGGCAGATCAACACAATACACATTAGAAAAAGCAGTCTGGAAATGTTCCACCATCTCTTAAAGGAAGAACCCTCCTCTTTCCCCTATTTTTCTTTTCCTCTCCCCCTCCCCAATATCACTTTCACTATTCCATCTTCCACTTCCACTCATCCTTTCCCTTCCTTTCCCTTCACTCCTTCACACTATGTGGTACCCCTGCCTTTCTTCCAAGGAACTCGGGCCAGTATATGTGATTCTCCTCTCATTTTATATTCACAATAACCCGGTGAGGTGTATTCTATATCAGGGAGGGAGTTGGAATTATCGTAGGTTAGACTGAGAGATGGTATCTGGCCCAAGATAAGCTTCATGGGCACCTAGTCAAACACTCTAGACAGCACAGGCATAGTTATGTCTCATGTTCTTTACCTGGGTGGGAGTTGGTTGTTATGCACCTGTGTTGAAGCCTTGAAGTTGGCAAAGGCCCCTGAAGGGTGCAGTGTTCCTCTCTGTGCAGCAGACACAGATTGCCGCAGACCGAGAAGGGATCCTTTCTTGTCAGGCTTCAGCCCTATATACCTGAAGGAGCATCTTCACCCCCATTCTTCAGGTCTAGCTCCAAGAGCCTTCTGACTGTTCCCTCATTGCAAGAAGTGAAGTTACAGGGAACCAACCTGCTTGGCTTCTTAAAACCAGTCCAGGGGGTAGCATGGTCGGTCCGCTTCATAGTCATAGTGATGCCTTTGCAGGACTCAGCAGAGAGGAGGCTGGGGACAAATCTAGAATTAGTTTGTTTTGCCTTTCACTGGCTCTCTTGGTTCCTCAGCCTCCCACATTTGTGCCTTTCCAACACTGTGCATAAAAATAAAGGCTGCTTCAAACACAGTGTTGAAACCGCAAGTTCCAGTGTGTGTGAAAGAGACAAAACTTGTTTTTTGGGGGAAAGGTGTCTTGAGTGTATAATTTTTTTAAAAATCTCAAAGTGGTGAACAAACTATTACAAAATTTCAAAATAAAACATTACAAATGAAAGTAAGCATAAAATACACATTTAAAGAAACATAATCAGCAAGAAAGCAAATGTTATCTTAAACATATACTAAAAAATTAAAGATTACAGCAAAACTATACATTTACAGTGTCATTAGCAACCAAACAAAATGGCTGAAACAGAAGCTGCACCCACACTTCAACTTGCACAGTAACATCTCCAGTCAGCAGTGTTGCTGCTGCTCGCCAGGAGGTAGAGGGGCAGGCGAGAGGCGGTAGTGAGGTTGGCATGGTGCAAACGCACTGAAAGGAGTGCTGGATGGGCTCCACAGGTGCGTATTCACTGTGCTGACCTCATAAATGCCTCGCCCTTTACCCTGTACTTCCGGGTAAGCAGCAGCAACGCAATGGAGGTCAGGGGAGAGGCAGCAGCCTACCATGCCTTCTGCTAAAGAATGGGCTGCTCCCTGCCTTTGGCAAAGCGTGGCTTTCTTGCCTTTCAGTGTGACAGAAATCCCTTTTATTTATTAATATGAGATAAGAACTGGAAGACAGGGAATCATTTCCTAATAAAATGGAAAGCACATTCTAGTGAAGATTAATATTGCTTTCAAGGTACACCCACATGTTAAAGGCATTTTGCATCTGTGTCTTGTGTGGAAAATGCCCTTAGCTATTTTATACAGATTTGTGTAAGGTAGTTCATGAAGTAGGCACTCTATAGTAATTTATGCCTTGTTTCAAATGCTTGATTTATTCTGTCGTATGCTCTCCCTAGTTCTTTGATCGCCTGAAGCTCATTGGAATGCCAACCAAACACCAGCCGGACTTCATCTATCTTCGACACGTTCCATTGCGAAAAGTGCACCTCTTCACTGCCATCCAAATGACCTGCCTCATTCTTCTCTGGGCTATTAAGGCATCTCGTGCTGCTATTGTCTTTCCCATGATGGTAAAAACCTATAACTTAAGGCTGAAAAGGCCATAATGTTATCACGCGGACCGAGATTGCATCTGTAAAAATTGGCCTGTGTTTTGTGTCTTACTGCTGTTAAAAAGCCCCATTTATTAATGGGAATTCTGTTCCCCAAATGGCTTTTGTGTCCTTAGCCTATTTCTTTGGTTACACAGTATTTATAAGCCAGTGTACAAAGTGGATAACAGAAGTCGAACCAGAACACAGGTTAGGTAAAGGTAAAGGGAACCCTGACCATTAGGTCCTGTTGTAACCGACTCTGGGGTTGCGGCGCTCATCTTGCTTTATTGGCCGAGGGAGACGGCGTACAGCTTCCAGGTCATGTGGCCAGCATGACTAAGCCGCTTCTGGAGAACCAGAGCAGTGCACGGAAATGCCGTTTACATTCCCGCCGGAGTGGTACCTATTTATCTACTTGCACTTTGACGTGCTTTTGAACTGCTAGGTTGGCAGGAGCAGGGACCGAGCAACGGGAGCTCACCCCGTTGTGGGGATTCGAACCGCCGACCTTCTGATCGGCAAGTCCTAGGCCCTGTGGTTTAACCCACAGTGCCACCCAATTTAACCAGATTGGAAGGGATGGAAGTTGTCAGTAGTACCACCACAAATATAAACATGGGCTCTGATTTAACATCTGTGTGCAGTCTAGTTCAGATAGTTGGCAGTAGTTTCATTCAGCATTATTATTATTATTATTATTATTATTATTATTATTATTATTATTATTATTTGGGGGGAGATTCAGTTCAGTTCCTCGTTGTCCCCGGTGCTGGCCCAATATATTTTGCTCCCTGAAGCAGAGCCCAAATGGTTCCCTCCCCACTAGGGCCAACACTTTTGAAAGTTTTGCTGTAACACCAATCCTGCCTTCATCTATCCTTCATCTGTCCCCATGGTGTTGTCTAAAGCAAGTTGCTTTGCTCTGCTGCATGGTCGAGGCAGCCCTGGCTTCCCCTTCATAATAGCTGATTTTTGCTATTGTTTGATTGCCTGAGCTGGGTTACAAACATGCTGGATTTTCATTAACATGTAACCCCCAAAATTTTGGATACCCTCCAAGCTGATACTAAACTGTTGTGTTCCTTTTGTGCTACAGACCCTGTGTTTTGTGCTCCCCCCAGCTGAATAATTGACACAGCAAACCAGGGTTCCAAGTTAACACCCCCAAATCCAGCATTGTCTAATCACCTCCAAACTGATGCCAAAGTTTTGTGCTCATTTTGTCCTGAAAAGCCCATGTTTGGTACCTTCACCCCACTCAAAACTGCGTAATTAATAGACTGAGAGCCAGGTATTCTCCCAAACAAAATGGCACAAAAAGGACACAAAACTTTGGCATTAGCTTGGAGGGATTTTGGGATTACACATGAATGAAGTTCTCTTGCTCTCCTGTTTGCCTCCTTGCCACAAACAAAACTCTGCAGCAAGAATGGCAATCTTTGCATAACATTTGATCATGGAAGAGGAGAGTAAAGAAAATTGTGTCTTTCTCCCCCTGTCTGGTACCCTTTATCCCCTTTGTCTTCATCTGTGTATTGTTCCAGCTGGTGAATCCTCTCATTAAGCGTGTGAGTGCTCTTTATCTTTTCCCACCTTCCCATTTCTCTTCTCCTTACTACAACAAGGTTTTGGCGTTGGTCTTTGTACGGAAGCTCATGGATGTCTGCTTTTCAAAGCGGGAACTCAGTTGGCTTGATGACCTTATGCCAGAGAGCAAGAAGAAAAGATTGGACGATGCACAGATTGTGGCAGAGCAAGCAGAGCAAGTAGAAGTAAGCAGGTTTATGTATTGCATGTATGTGTCCACCCTTCAGAATCTGATTGTTAGGCACCAGCTATAAGATCCTCTTGTACTTTCTTATTATCAAGGGCAGGCACAGACATGTTACTCTTGAGACACCCATCTCATCACTCAAGCCCTTTTTGATCTTTCCTGTGCTATCACCATCCAGTTCCTCCCAATTTTCTCTTATTGATCAGTTGCCAATCCCTTACCATTTTCCACCCTAAATTCATACAGCAGCGGAGGAAGCCGCTTGGGCACCTGGGGCAGCACGCCCAAGGGCGGGGTGAGCTGCCCATAAAGGTGTGGCAAGCCACCCATATAGGCGAGCCGAGGGTGGGACGAGCCACCCATAGGGGTTGGGGCACACCATGGGGCCTCTGGAATCTGCCTGCCTCCTCCCACTCAGCCGCCCTACAGCTGGGGCGGAGGCAGCGGGTGGACCGTTTGGGCAGTGCAGAGCCTGCGTGTACCCAAGCCACCATGTCTCTCCCAGGTGAGATACGTGGCTTGGGTGGGCTGCAGGCCCTGCGGTGAGTGCCTCCCAGCATTTCACCAACTGTTCATCATCTCCATCTGCATGCAATTCTTATCAAAATACTGTAAGAGAGAATATTAAATAAAGGAATAAAGAGAAAAGAGAAAGGAAATAAGAAAGAAATAGATAAAAGGTAAAATGACTTCCAGCTAGCCATCCCTCAGTTGTATATACAGTCATACCTTGGTTCCCCAATGCCTTGCGAGAACCGTTTTGGCTCCCGAACGCCACAAACCCGGAAGTGAGTGTTCCAGTTTGCAAACGTTCTTTGGAAGCCAAATATCTGACTCGGCTTCTGCGGCTTCCAATTGAGTGCAGGAAGCTCCTGCAGCCAATAGGAAGCCGCGCCTTGGTTGTTGAACATTTTCAGAAGTAAACAGACTTCCGGAACGGATTCCGTTTGACAACCAAGGTACGACTGTACAATAATTCTTCAAAGTGGTCAAATGTTCAATCTAAATTAATATCCAACTGTTCTGCCCTCTGCTGGGCAATGTTTTTCCAATCTTCAGGAACTTTGTTCTGAGTCACTTTTTCAGCCGTCCCAGATCCATCCTCCTGACTCTCAGCTTGGTCAGGACCATGACAGTCAATGCCTCACAGTTCCAGTTACGGTGCAAGGAATTTAAATGGGAGATGATCCGACTGTAATTGTCCTTGAATTGTGGCCCGCCCCCCGCCACCCCCCTTCCTCCGCCCCTGGATCTGTATAACTGCACACAGGCTTTCTTTGCACAAAAAGGAACCTTGCAAAAAGTGGGGTCCCTGTATACACACACACACTTTATATATTTGTATGCTTTGTTCACATGTTCAGAGGAATGCATAGAGACTAAGGCTTTGTTCACATTCCTGTTCACCGTGCGTTGTTATAAAATGTTACTTTTCGATGTGTTGTTTCTCAAATCAGCCTTACACCAGTTTTATGTGTCAAACAGGAGTCTGAAGGGATGAAAGAATCTTCAGAAGAAGCTGTAGTTCAAATGCCAAATTTTCTTACTGTACCAGGAGCTGGAACTCCACCACCAAAACTTCCCAAAAAAAATACCAACAGGTAAAAACACAAAACGGGTAAAAACACAAACTTGTGAAGTCAAAAAGAAAATATTAGCCTTTGGGGAGGTTGTAAAATCAACCCAAAAAGGGCATTCAATGGCACTAAATGAGTGATCAATGCTTGCTATAATTTTGGTGAATTCCAGATATCCAGAAATTGCATGTTTCCTCTTTTATTTTTATTTTTGAATATCTCTTATTTTGTGTTCCAGTGGCCTTTTACAATAGCAGGGAGAGAAATTCAACTTGGCAATGCTGTGTTAATTAACATCTGTAGTGGGCAAGGAGACCATTGTCTCTATTCAGTTACAAATAAACAGAGCTGAACTTCTTGGTGAATTGCAATTCAGCAGTTTCACACTGGAGCTTCCCTTTGAAACTGATTTCTTCAAGAATCACCACTTTTATGATCAGTAGCAGAGAGTCTACCAGGACACTCTGCAACTGATCTAAAGATGGCCATACTTGTTAGTCTTTCAGGTACTACAAAACTCTTATTTGACTTTGCATTATTTTGCAGTGCTTTTAATTTCACTGTCCTAGGAGTTAATCTCTAACTAAAATGATTATTGCAGGCCTGATCCTTTAGAAATCAACATCACTGACGAAATGGCTAAAACAATCTTGTGGAAGAACATCGTGAATCAATAAATGCTCTAAATCAAGAGTAGAGGTATGGAGATTTCGCTGTACAGTGACCCTGGACCTGTACTTACCCATGCAATCTTCAAGCCAGCCAGCTAGAGTGGTTAATTTAAGGTACTGGCGAGAGCAGAGCATTAAACAATTTCACCCACCCCCACCCCGCAAAATAAAGTGTTTTAAAAATAGCATGCTGGAACACAGCCTACCCAAACAGCTATTCCACATTCACTAAGGTGGACAGAACATAGCAGAGTGTGCATGCAGACACAAAACATTATGCCGTCTGGACTGTGGAAAGTCTATTGCAATGCACACTTCGATTACAACAGTGGAGCAATCATTAGGTAGTGCTAGGAGCTCCCTGTCTGGTAGCACATCTAATCTATTTTGCACTGTATTTCTGTGTGCAAAGGATACAAGCATTTGACAGTCACTGATAGGCAAACTGACACTGTTTCTCATGCTCTCGGACTTAGAGTCATAGAACCATAGATTCATAGAGCTGGAAGGGACCATGAGGATCATCTAGTCCAAGGTTTCCAAACTTGTATCTCCAGCTGTTTTGGGATTACAGTTCTCATCATCCCTGACCACTGGTCCTGTTAGCTACCCTCTGGCCCTCTGGCTTAAGCCAGGTAAACAAGGCTTTGGGAAGGAGGCATAAGGCTCTGGCAAGGTCCTAGAGCCCTCCCTCCTCCTTCCCAAAGCCTGGTAAACACTTGCCTGGCTTTGCGAAGGAGACAGGAAGACTCTAGAATCCTGTAAGAGCCCTCATGCCTCCTCCTTCAAGCCAGGCAAGTGCTTACTGGGCTCTGAGAAGTCACCCTCCTTGGTTGTGCACCCAGTGCCCATGCGCCTCTTGTGTTACCCTAAATCATCTTTGATAGAAGAAGATGGAGCTTGGAGAAGAAACCGCATTGATTCCTACCTTCAGAATGTCCAGAATTAATCTATCTCTAATAGCATGTTTTGGTTCACAGCTTTGCCATTCATGCCCCTCTGCTTTGGACGAGGAGCAGCAGCACACGAAGATGACTCAGGGAAGAGCCAAGACATGCAGGCAAGGAAGGAAAAATGCTTTTGCAATAGAAAAGGGTGCAAGCAAACAAACTGCCCCAGTACTTCCTTCACACAAGTAACTGGGTTCATATTAAAAAGCCATTCAGAAGTGTTTTGAATATCCCTTAGTGTGCTTCAGTGGGCATCCTAATTATCTTCAGACCAGCAAATCAAGACGCACATGAAACAATGAAAATTCAGTGTTAAAGCCTGTGTGTGTGTGTGTGTGTGTGTGTGTGTGTGTACATTTGCCGTGTTGCAGTTTCTTAGCTATAGAGAGACTGCTGTCTCTGCATACTTAAAGTCTCCCTCTTCAGTGTCTGTTTTTTTTAACCTTTTAAACTTTGAATGTACAACACCACCACTATGTTTGGATTTTCTTTTTTTATTCTTTGTATTTACTTATTCTTTGCAGAAATAGTTCAATTAGGGTTTGCCTAAGTTTCTACACTGAATCACAGAAGCAACTGATAAGAGATAACTTACAAGAAAATGTGGGGCGGGGAATGGCCTTCTGAAATGCTCGTTTTAGAAAAAATTAAGTCACATTATTTTAATTCCTTTGTTTTTTTAGCTACTTTATGATGAAACCCTAATTCATCAGAACATTTACGTGTTTCAGTCACAATATAGACATGGGCCAAACATATCTGTGTTGATTTGTCTGTGTGTGTGATCTTCATGGTCTAGGTAAAAGCAACCAAGCCATTGACCATAGCAATGTAAATGAGCTAGCAGGCTAGAGAAGGGCAATTGTGTCAACAGCTATTGATATCACAATCGGCACTCTCTTGACAAATCCCTGCAGCCCAATGTATTATAAGGGCAAAAGTGGACTGATATGGGGAGAGCAGCAGTTGAGCCCAGAAATGTGATCAGAAATGTTGAGTTCATAGATTGAGAACAAAACAACAGACATCAAAAGTTGCCTTTGAGGTGATTGGGCCAGGAGCCTCAGTGCCTCAGTGCATGGAAACTTAGTTCATGATATTCTTCTACCCCTTTGAAGTTAATAACATCAGAGCTAATTGATCTACTAGACAGAAATTTGGTTCTTGATTCTTCTGTTTTCTATTATCGTTTGAGAACATTGGGGTTCTCAAGCATGGCTCTTGTGTGCCTTTTCAGGTCAAGAAGTGAACCTCCCCAAGTGTTAATTGGCCAAGAAATGATGACTAGGGCCGATGCTATTGCCCCAAGTGATGCTTGGTCATTTGAATTGATGGCATGATTTCAGGTGCCCCAAGGGCAGGTTTCAAGGAAGCCAACCAACCAGTTTGCTCCACTGGGGCCCTGTGCATTATCCGCTACTGCAACTGGGAGGGAGACATAACTGTATTACAGAGCAGGGACTCACTCTGCTTCCTCGCCCATCCAGTCTGGTGCTTTGACTATGTGGCAGGGGGGCTGATGGTAGCATAAGTAGTTTATGCTTCCAAAGCTGCTGGCACCTCAAAAGAATTGGTTGCATAGCATTTTGACCATCCTGGGTCCCTCAAAATTTAGAGAAGTTAAAAAATTTAAATAGACAAGAAAGAGATGGGCATGGCCTGCTGACTTTTCAGAACAAATCAATAATATCTGTCCTGACTTCTGCTGCCTTTTTGTACCCAAGAGCCAGGTTGTGTGTGTGTTGATTTCCTCATAAAGCAGTGCTCTGCAATGGCCAATCCATACTTTGTCAAAACCTTTGAGGGACAAGGCAGGGATGATAGGCCAGGTGAGTAGGTCAGGATTCTCCAACCTAGACAGAACACTGTTGTCTTTTCTCAAGTTCTTCCTGTAGGTTTTTCTGTACCAAGTAAATTGATATTTTTCAGAAGTTGGACATGTGTTTATTGAGGACACATTGGGAAAAAGGGTACTAAGCTGGGAACAACAATACCACATGCTTAAAACTCATTTAAAGCTATTCCTTCACAGTAGAAAACCCTGGAACAGAAGTTCTGTGATGGAGACTCTCAGCAGCGATTCTTGCTCCCAATATTTTTTTCGAGGAAGCGGTGGCAGTTTATTCTGAAAACCTTTAGCAGTTTCATTCCACCTAGATCTAAGTGCAATTTAGATCTGTTACCCTTCCATGAAACTTAAGGCAAACTACATTGCTCATTTCTACAATTCTCTCCTTATCAATATTCCTTCATCTCTTGGCTATGTGAAGAAAACCAGCATGGTGGATTGAGTTGTGAGTGGTTTATTTTCCTTGTAAATGTTTGCCTCAAGAGTGGCTGGGGAAACCCAGCTGGATGGGTGGGGTGCAAATACTAAAATTATTATTATCAAGACCCAGAATGAAGATGTGAGACTCAAGAACTGGACTGAAAAGAAGAGCACAACTTTTATCGATAGACAACATGATCGGCAATGAGCAAAAGTCCTCTCTCCTTATCCCCCTTTCAGAGTATGAGTTCTTGGTGATAAGGTGAGAGCCAGGAGGTACTGTCTTCCACAGTCTGCTTCCTTTGGGTGACAGTACCCTGGCTCAGATTCTTGTGCTGCATTGTTGGCCCTTTTATGGCACACAGAGGCAAGCAAGGGAGGAGCAAGCACTTACATGCATACTTAAATCCCCCACTATTGACTGCCATCCGTGTCAGCTGATCTGGCTCTGCATTGCAGTCTTGTGTTCCAAGGGTGTGAGCAAAGCCATCTCATTCACAAGCACACAAGGAGCTGTGGAGAGGTAGTCAAAGTGGTGGTATTGCCCTTTTAAAGTAGCTGTAATTGTAGGGGTTCCATGCTTTAAGTAAGCAGCCTTTAAGACTGGCAGGAGATCAAATTTGCACATTTCCTATCCGGGCTTAATTCCTTATGCTGAGAGCGGTTTACAAGATTATACAACTTGAACAGAGGCGTATATTTCATGGGGGAAAGGGGGCAAGTAGTCTGTTTGGTTACACCTGTTGTCCTTGGAACAGAGAGCATTAAATGCCCTGCAGGAATGGGCATGCTGAATTGGTCAGGGTAAACCTACCAATCCTAAACTGGAGGCAGGTTTGGGAGACAGGATGCAAATCGTTTGCAAGTCACTCTGAACCTTGGGGTGATTCCCCCCCCCCCCGACGCAAAATTGAGATTGTTTTAAGATACTTCATTGGTGAGAACATTTAGCATTAGGATTTGCTCGTTAGGATTTCAGAAATTCTGTCCCCTGCCCAGGTAGCATTAATGAGTAGAGCTAAAGCAAGTGGTAGCAAGATAATAGCTGCCAGGTAAGGGATTGAGCCAAGGCAAAGTTTGGTGAATTAGGAACATAAGTGTGATGGGATTTAGCTGGTCAGGGTAAAGCAGAGGCAGAAAATAGTGTGTAGGTTTCTCCTTTGCCACTGATGAAATATTGTTTTGGGCCACTGTTGCATTCCCATTTGCTTGGCCATTTCATTGAAGTCAGAGGAACTCCCAATGATTGTTATGATTAAGGTATAGGTCAGCGGCTTGAACTTAACTGGATTGCAGCTCAAATAATGGATGGAGCTGTATCTACCAACCACCAATTTATTGAAACGCAGTTTTGAATTTCAGCTCTGACTTGAATTTCAAAATCTCCACCTCTTGACCTGCCATGAAAGTTAAGCCGAGAAAAACCAGAGTATCTGCGTTAATATTTGCATTCATTCTATTCATGGTTCTCCTTGTATGCCAAGTGACAATTTGCATTTTCATGCCATGAATAATCAGCAGCTTTCCTTTCAATTCTACCCTAAGCATCTTCTGCTTGTCTCTGCAAAAGGGCCCTGCAATATTTGCTTGGCAATCTTGATAGGAGGCCAAGATATATAGCTTCTCTCGACTCTAGGGCAGTGTTTCCCAACCGGTGTTCCGCGGCACACTAGTGTGCCGCGAGACGTTGCCTGGTGTGCCGCGAGATGTTGCCTGGAGGGAGGCGGGCGAGTCGGGCGGCGAGAGGCGGGGCGGCGGCGGCGAGGAGAGGCCGCCCAGCGCGGGGCTCTCGCCGTCTGCCTGCCTGGCTGCCTGCGTGGCGCTGACGTCACGGGGCTGTAACGTGCCCCACATAGGCACACGCAGGGCGGCGAGCGAGCTCCCTCCCACATCCCATCGCCGCTCGCTTCGGCCGGCCTACTGGGCTGTCGCAGGCGGAAGGCCTGCGCATGCGCAAGGTTTTCGCCCCTTCGGGATTCCCTTCACGCCTTCCTCCTCCCGGGTCCTTGAGAGCGCGGGAAGCGGCAGCGCGAGACCGGCGTTGAGCCTGGTAGGTATTGCGCTTGCCAAGGCAGTCATTTGGGAAATGAAAACTTGCAAAGCAAGCAACCAGTTCAATCTGAAGTACGTGTATGCTTAATATCCTGTATCTGAAACCTGTTCTGCCCCCTCCCCCACACTTGGTGCCATTTTCATCTACACACGCAGCAGATTAAGTTGACCCAGAATAGTACCAATTCAGATGGCAGATGGGAGAATGACAGTGCTGAATGCTTTCCCATGTAGAACAGTCCCTGCAAATAAAAACCTAGCATATTTGGAAGAGGGATGCTAGCCTAACCATTACCTTCTATGCTGTTACTATTTTTTTATTTTTTTATACATAAGTAAAAAGTGACCTTTCCCCATCTGGCATGGTGGTGTGCCTCGAGATTTTTTTCATGAAACAAGTGTGCCTTTGCCCAAAAAAGGTTGGGAAACACTGCTCTAGGGGCATCTATGGCTAAACAAAGGAAAGCAGCACGAACTTTTAGGTACCCCTACACTATCTGTAGGCCAAATCATAGAGTGGTGGATGGGCACTGAGTAGAAAGTGACAGAAACAATCTCATTTGGTCTAATGTAGAAAGGTGTTGCTGCATGATGGATCTGTGGAGCTATCGGGAATCATAGTTCAGAATGGTTGGGGATTATTCTGGACTAAAGAAAAGTGTGTGTGTGTGGGGGGGGGGACCTGGACTTGAAGCAGGTCCCAGCTCCAAGAAGTGAAGACTTTTAACCAAGAGCGGTTGTCTATGGGAATTTAGGAAGGCAAGGAGAAAAACACAAAGCATGGCTGGGCATAGCCTGGTGATTCTGCTTGCAAAAATTGAAATGTATAGGGTGGTATGCAACTAAGTTTTACTCAGAGTCACTGAAATTCATGAACGTTACTAAGCTAGGTCCATTCATTTCAATGGGTGAGTAAAACTTTCTTGAATGCCACCCATTCAGTTAAGTGGAGGCCCATGCAAGGACTTCTACTAGGATAATGGGGTTCAGAGAATTGCCAGAACAGCTCATGCGGGAGGACAAGGCTGGTTGTTCCATTGGGCAAGTAGATGGAGTTATCTGCTTAGTGCTACATTGAACTTCTCCTATAGCTTCCTAGCTCAAGGGTTGGGGAATTTGTCAACATTTACATGAGTCTTAGAACATGAACTTTTGCAACCTGAGGCAGTCGTGCAGAGCTTTCTTTCTTTCTTTCTTTCTTTCTTTCTTTCTTTCTTTCTTTCTTTCTTTCTTTCTGGATGTGGAGGGTAGACAGCTGGCTAGGATTATTTGGTAGGAAAGAATCTTTGAGCACACTGCTGTTCCTTCCTAGCACCATTCATAAGAGAAACCACAACCCAGTTGGGCCAACCTAAGCCTTTACCCCGAGCAAAGCAGGAATTTTGACTTCATCCCAGTATTATGGGAAGGAGGGAAATGGCTCATAGCTGACAGGGATTAGATGACGAATGTTGTGGGGTGGGGCATAAGCTTGACTCCAGGTTCCACAGTATCTCCCAACAAGCTTGTTGTCTGAAAGGCTTTAGATAACAGAATCTGTGTCAGTTCTTAAGGCAGGGTCTGTCTTCTTTGAAAACCACAACGCACAAGAAGTGCTTCATAATCCTTACTGGAGAAGGAGGGGAATCAAATAAAGAAAAGGTGCTGGCACATTTTTTCTAGCGTATTTCCTTCCTCCTATAATCGCTACATGTAGAAATAGAGAGATTATTTTCTTTTTAGAAATAAAAGAAAAAAAATATTTATTTTGTTGTAAGAGATGTAATTTCAAAAAAAAAACCACTCCATGTTGTAAATAAAATATGAAAATTGGAAGATTGGCTCTGGCTACTTGTTTTGTGCACGATAAAAAGGGTTTTTGCTAAATTCACCTAAGAAACAAGTCTTATGGAAATGTACAGTCAGATGGTCAGAATATAAATCAATCAATCATCACCACCATTATTTACCGTATATACTCGAGTATAAGCAAACTTTTTCAGCACATTTTTTATGCTGAAAAAGCCCCCCTCGGCTTATACTCGAGTGAGGGTCCTTTCGGGCTGCTCCTTCCTCTTCCTCCGCCTTTGCCACTGTTGGCGACGGCGGAGGAAGAACGAGCAGCCCGAAAGCAGCCATTTCTTCCTTCAATGTTCTTCCTCCGCCGCTGCTGCCACCACCAGGTTTGTGGTGTGGTGAACCCGCTTATACTCGAGTCAATACGTTTTCCCAGTTTTTGTGTGCTAAAATTAGGTGCCTCGGCTTATATTCGGGTCGGCTTATACTCGAGTATATACGGTATTATAGTATAGTTTTTGTTTGGTTCTATAGTTACAGGCATTGGTTCTGCCTTGTGGTTATGACTAAAATGTCACTGATGATGAAATTCTGACAATCAGGATTGTGCCTGTCATCTACATACTCACCCAAAATAACAAGGAGAAATGTAAAATAAAAGCTGCCCTTATTTGTCTAAGCACTCTCTCTACAGTGTATTTTCAGAAGACAATGGTTTCTGTTGGAAAAGGATGTTGATTTTTAAAGGCCTTTGCAAAACACTATCTGGAAACGGGTATATTAACACACAGTATATTCTCCATGTCTTTATTTTAATAAAGTATTTCAGTATTTTAAAGCTTCCCAGAATACACCTCAGGATGCATCATGAAGACATCATAGATACAGTGGTACCTCGGGTTACATATGCTTTGGGTTACATATGCTTCAGGTTACATACGCTTCAGGTTACAGACTCTGCTAACCCAGAAATAGTACCTTGGGTTAAGAACTTTGCTTCAGGATGAGAACAGAAATCGTGCTCCGGCAGCGCGGCGGCAGCAGGAGGCCCCATTAGCTAAAGTGGTGCTTCAGGTTAAGAACAGTTTCAGGTTAAGAACAGACCTCCAGAACAAATTAAGTTCTTAACCCGAGGTACCACTGTATTTCACCGAAAAGGTGTGGTGTCTGGTAGAACCTGAGATCCAGGTATGCCCCTGTCAATCAAATACAGTGGTACCTCGGGTTAAGAACTTAATTCGTTCTGGAGGTCCGTTCTTAACCTGAAACTGTTCTTAACCTGAGGTACCATTTTAGCTAATGGGGCCTCCTGCTGATGCTGCCCCGCCGCTGCATGATTTCTGCTCTCATCCTGAAGCAAAGTTCCTAACCCGAGGTACTATTTCTGGGTTAGCGGAGTCTGTAACCTGAAGCGTCTGTAACCTGAAGCGTCTGTAACCCGAGGTGCCACTGTATAGTCTTTCACACTTACTCCATCATATCACAAAGGGAAGTATTTACAGAATTTACAGATCCCTGGTCCCTGAGCAGGAGGAGGACTTTCAGATCATGCCTGTCCAACTTGTGACCTACCAAGCCAGATGTATTCCCAGCAGCCACGTGTGGCACCCTGCTAGATGCAATCATCCCTTCCTGTTTGTGCAGTCTCAGTCCACCAGTAAAAACAGAGAGTTTATTGAACCCCAGCAGGCCACTGCGCATGACAGGTGGGTTGTCACTTAGTGAGTCACCAGTAGTGGAAGCCTCTTCCAGGTTAATTAGTGCAAAGCCCAAGGATGCAATGTTGCATTATGTATCCCACATGAATATTGAGAAAAGTGATGCAATAGGATTCGTAGCAAAGATGTCTTAACAGGAAATTGAGAACTTTGCCAGGAGTGATGTCATCACAATCCTTTCAAATTTAGTTGGGAGTGCAGTAAGCATATCACAAGAACTACCAGAGGCCAGATTCTGTGTGAAACAGAAAACATCTTGAGACATAGATAATAAGCAGATGCTAGAGGCCAGGCTGGACTGTCTTCACATATTTTTGTCAGTGTCCCTCTTTGCTTCTGGCTGAAATTGCTCCTTGCAACTGTCCCTCTCTTTCCCTTTCCCTTTTGGTATGCTCTGAGCCTGAGTAGCTATCCCCTCCCCCCTTATGAAACTCTTGAGCACCTCAATGCTGAAAGGAGGTACTGCTCTTTTAAAAATATATGGGGACCCCCACTGCAGCTCAAGACCAACTTCCATTGAACTTCGCAAATGAAGTAGATGTGCACCAGGCTTCGTATGAATGTATAATCCACAGCAGCCATACCTGACTCGATACATTCCAGATGTTTCGGACCATAACACAGGATGGTCATGCTAGCTGGACCTGATGGGAGCTGCAGTTCAAAATGTCTGCCCAGTCCAGTGTCACATTGCTTAGAAGCAAGTCCCACGTGTTTCAATGCACCGTATTTTTCGCTCTATAAGATGCACTTTCCCCCTCCTAAAAAGTAAGGGTGTGTGTGTGTGTGTGTGTGTGCGCGCGCGCGTCTTATGGAGTGAATGCAGGCTGTGCGGCTATGCCAGAAGCCAGAACAGCGAGAGGGAGCACTGCGCAACGCTCCCTCTAGCTGTTCTAGCTTAGCTGCGCGAAGCCTCCGCAGAGGAGCCTTCATCCCGCTGCCCTGTGGAGGCTTCGCACAGCTATCCCTGGCTTTTGTGGGAGGTGGGGGAAGGGACAGAGTGCGCAGCTCTGTCCCTTTTCCCCCACCTCCCAGAAAAGCCCCCAAGAGCCGTGCTCCCTTTAAAGAGTGCATGGCTCTAGCGGGAGGTTGGGGGAAAGCCAGGAGGCTTGGTTTCGCTGAAGCCAGGAGAGCAAGCGGGATCGGTGCGCACCCATCCCGCTTGCTCTCCTGGCTTCAGGGATAGCCCCACAAAGCCTCCTGAGTGAAGAGGGAGGAGCGCTCCCTCTTTGCTCAGGAGGCTTCTTATTTCTCGTTTTCCTCCCCTAAAAACTAGGTGCGTCTTATGGTCGGGTGCATCTTATAGAGCGAAAAATACGCTAAGTGTGCATAGCTTATAACTAAGAGAGTTCTGGATTCAGTTGTATCCTCGATTCAAGCCCTCAGATGTGAACGCCCTTGCCTTCTGTGGTAGCTCGTTGGTGAGATATATGCATTCTGCATATGCTGGAAGGCACTCTTGTCTCTGATATTCTTTCAAATGTCCCAGGGTGGAAACCCAGCACAAGAAAGAGGCCTTATGTCTCCTGGGGAAGTCTTTATGCATGAAGAAGCATACAACGTTGGAAGATAGTCTGCACAGGTGAGTGGGGCTGTGCCCCACCAAATGCAGTCTGCTCTCTGCCACCCGCCACTTCTCTGCCGTCTTATCTATAGCCAGTCCAAGTGTGGCACTCACAGCCTGCCGGTTCCCACCTCCCAGGTCTCAATGTTATCCCTTGTACAATTCAGCAGGGAGGAAGATGGGGACAAAATGAGAATTCATGTCATGAGCTGGCAGGACAATGCGGAGGAGGAAACGGATCCTGGCGATGGGTGTAGTAACAACTGGTACACATGAATGAATGAATCTTTATTTGCATCAGCCACCAGCCATAGCAATAAAACAAACAAAATGCGGTATACAGAAGTTAAAGGTAAAAAGTCATTTATATAAAATACATTTTGGGGGTTTGGATCAATAGTCAAATAATGGAGCTTATTCTAATTGCCCTGACTAAAAACCTTGCAACCTTTGCTGTCACCTGCTCATCTTGATCTGCCAAGAGAAAGGACACTGTAACAGTGGTTGGGCGACCTGGAATGGAGGGGTGATAACCTCACTCTTCAAATCTTTATAAAGAGTGCAAGCCAGAAGGACACAAGCTACCGATTCAGTACTGCCATCTCCACTGGTACACATTAGAACAAGCTGCAGATGGAGGAGGAAGAGGTTGGGGGCGTAGAAAGCACCCACAGGGTGTCAGAGGACGGCGAGGAGATCAGTGCACAGGCATCAGAGAAGCAGGACCCATTACCAGAGCTGGAGGTGTCCCCATCTCCACAAACAAAGCAGGCTCCAAAGCATAGGGAGGAGTGGGAGGAACTCTCTAGGAAGCTGAGACAGGCAAGGGCACACAGCCCAGCTCACTAACTGGCCAGGTGGGGCTGGCTGGATCTGGAAGGAGGTGTGTGATTCCTCAGCTGGATTAGTCTCAGGACAGGTGAGGACCACATGCCTCCTCAAGCCCAGATGCTGCTATCAACATGCAAAGTACAATAGGGAAGCAGAGCTGAGGTTCTGTGCCTGCTGTGATGGCCTGGGAATCAGATTCAGAGGCTGAACCTGAGGAATCCCAGCCTGCACAGGAGTCTCCACCTCCAGGGCCGGCTGAGCCGGGGCAGGGGCTTGAACCTGAAGGGCTCTCACCTGTGCCTCAGGAGCAGACACCAGCTGAATCTGCTCTGGCTCCGGAGGTGATAGAGGACCCATTGCCTGCAGGTGCTCCACTCTCAGCCCCATCAGGGGAAGGTGAGGTTGCCTCTGGATTGCAGAGGCTCAGGGCAGAGAGGCAGAGGGAACTAAGTTCTCGCAGGAGGAGTGCTCGCCTCCAGGCCAGGAGAGGCGAGTCACCTGTGGACCGGGGCCACCCTATACCTCGGGGCAGATAAAAGCCAGCTAGCCCCATTCCCAGGATGCGGGAGCAACATTGTTGGTAACCTGTTCCTGCTGGCACCCTGTCCTGCTCTTCTGCCAGAGTTCCTGACCTCACCCGACTCCTTGCCTTGGACCCTGCTTCAGCCTTGACGGACAGCCCCATACCACACCCTCGACCTCGGACTGGACTTGGATCACACCGCACTGTAACCCCCCCGGGACCAGCACACCTGCACAGCTTCCCATTTTGATGGACCATGGCTTGGATGTCCTAGGCGATGAGTAGCTAGCAATCATTTAAATCTTTCATCAGTAATTATGCTGCTGTTGCATTCCTTTAACCTGGAGTTGTAGACTGTTGGAACTATTGGAGGCCAGACTGTTTAGAATCTACATCTTATTAAAAACAGAACCTTTACATTGGTGTGTTTTGACCCATAAATCCCGCCTTTAACATCAAACACCTCCAAGGAACAAGGGAAATCAAAAGAAAGAGGCTGGAAGAAACCACTTTTAATGTGACATCATTTAGTGCAGACAGCTTTAGCAGCAAGTTTCATAAGTGCCTGTAGCTCACCAACTTGGAAACAATGAAGAGTTAAAGAATGATGGTAAGACCATGTCGAGCAAAAGACTCCAGTGTTGGCTGAAGCTGGACATCAAAGCAGGGGAACTTGGGATCCTTGTATTTTGAGCTTTCCTTTTATGCATATCTGTAAAAGTGATAGATCATGGAATAAGGATATGGACTGAGTTCAGGTCAGAAGGAATTTAGGGGTGCCCTAGCAGATGCCTGGGCCAGTTATGGGTGGGGGCTGCACACCTCCCGCTTTCAGAAAAATAGTTTTGAACTACCGTATTTTTCACTCTATAAGACACACTTTTCCACTCCTAAAAAGTAAGGGGAAATGTGTGTGAGTCTTATGGAGCGAATGCAGGCAGGAGGCTCTGCTCAGCACTCCCTTTAAAGAGCCACATGGAGCGTTTGTGTGGCTCTTTGGGGCTTTTAAAGGGAGCATGGCTCTTGGGGGAGCCTTAGCCGTGCGCAGCCTCTCCCAGGCAAGGGGAGCCTTCATCCCCCTGCCCGGGAAAGGCTGCACCCATAAGCACCCAGCTATCCTATAAGCCAGGACAGCAATCCCGCTTGCTGTCCTGGCTTCTGGGATTCAGAATTCGCCCCCCTTGTTTTCCTCTTCCAAAAACTAGGTGCGTCTTATGGTCTGGTACGTCTTATGGAGCGAAAAATACGATATTTCCTATTTTCTGTAAGAAGTTCAAGTACAGAACAGCCCTGTGAGGTAGGTTGGGTGGAAAGACAGTGACTGTCCTAAGATTATTCAATGAACTCATACAATCCAATACAGTAAGACTGCAACTTAAACAGGGGTTATGTTCTGGGGATCACGTCTAAAGCCAAAACACCCTGGGTTCAAGGGTGGGTGGGATTGTCATTTTTCCTGGAACCATTTTTCCTCCTTTTTAATTTTTTTGCCATGCATTTAAAGCTGAATGTGCACGAGTTAAATGTGTGTGAGTTGTGGGATCACTGTGTTTGAAGTGGCATCTGTGTGACTGGTAAAATCACTTGTAGAGTCGTACCTTGGAAGCTGAATGGAATCCGTTCGTTCGACTTCCAAGGTGAGGCTTCCAGTTGGCTGCAGGACCTTCCTGCAGCCAATCGGAAGCTGTGGAAGCCCTGCCAGACATTCAGTTTCGAAAAGAACGTTTGCAAACCGGAACACTCACTTGTGGGTTGGTGGCTTTCGGGACCCAAAACGTTTGACTGCTAAGGTGTTCATCAACCAAGGTACGGCTGTATTTCATAGTGTCTGATTTTTCCAGACATGCAGACAGGGAAGTATTTACTATTACAGAAGGATTTGAATCAGTCAAATGTGACCACTTCTAGTGCACAGCACTGGCTCCTCCTCATCTTTCCAGAAATAGGGAAAGTCAGAACACTTGAAGCTTATCGGTCTTGAGGATGTGAGTCATACGGAAACAGTTCTCTTTTCAAATGCAGTAAGACTTACCTGAATGAGAGAAAGCCAGGTGGGTAACTTTCCTTAATGAACCTCTTTTTATAGCTGTGAACAGGAATAAGGCAACAGTTATGAAAACAACAGTAACACTGGAACCCTGTGCATGTCTACTTAGAAAGAACTCTGAATTCAATAGGAACTGTTCCTAGGTAAGACACAGGGAAACTTTGGCCCTCCAGATGTAACTGGACTACAGCTCCCATCACCCTTGACCATTGGCCATACTGGCTGGTACTAAGCGTGGAGTTGAAATCCTGTAATATCTGAAGGACTGTATGTTCTCTACCCCTGTTGCATAGGATTGGAGCCTAACAGAGCCAAGCCATTCCTAAATCACCAAACATCTAAAAGTAGGCGGAAATAACCAGCCAGATGTTGCTGAACTACAACTCCCATCAGTCCCAGCAAGCTTGGGATGATGGGAGTTGTAGTCCAGCAACAAAAGTTCCCTACCACTGATCTAAAGCCTGACTTTCCTGCAGCTATTTTACCGTAATTAGACCAGCTAGATAAATAACCCCATTGCTGAGTGTTCCTGAATTGGGAATAATTATCAATCAAGCTGTAGTAGCATTGACGATGATATTAATAGCAATAATAACAACAAACGAACCTTTTACATTTCAACCAGTAGATTATTTAATTCAATTTTGCTAAATTGAGGCCCAATCAATGAAGAGTAGGGTTTAATAAACGGGTTTAGGATTAAGAACGCCCTCATTTATTTGATTCTGGAGTGTTACCATACGGAGGTTGAAAAATCATCCTCCCTTCTAATCATGGTTGCAAGCTTTTGCTTATTCAATTATAAGTTGTTGTGTTTTCTTTCTTTTTTAAAAAGTTATTAAAACATTTCTTATCTACTTTTCACCACTCTCTAATCCCAAAGCAGGGCATAATTTAAAAGCACAAAACATAATAAAGCAGAATAAAACCTTTGAACAATAATATAATCACTGTTTTGTTGTTGTCAAACAACTGGGACTCTGAAATCTGTGCTGATCTACTGCAGAAAGCAAAGAACTGTCTTGTGTCTGCCTGCTCTTGCATAAGAAAGCATTTTTATAGTTATGCAGGAATCACCTTGGTTTTGACTCTTCTTTGTCTTTCTGTTGGCCCTGTTGCCTTTACTCTGATTGGAAAACTGATTTGCAGGCTACCACATACCTGTACTGTTTGGCATTGATGAGCCAGTGTACAAAATCCTTGGCCTTCATTTTGTCCAAATATTGAGTAAAATCACTGGTAAAGGTGCCTTCAGAATGTCTTTTGACATTAGATGTAAAGCTATGGGCACTTTCTGTTTCATAAGACTGCCACCTGTATCCGAAATCAAGAATGGACAGAATTATACATCCTTTTTTTAACCAGGCATAGGCAAACTCGGCCCTCCAGATATTTTGGGACTACAACTCCCATCATCCCTAGCTAACAGGGCCCGTGGTTAGGGATGATGGGAGTTGTAGTCCCAAAACATCTGGAGCGCTGAGTTTGCCTATGCCTGCTTTTAACCATAGTAAGAGTATCTTCATAGCACATCACACCTTATCAAAAAAATAAATTTTACACAGAGTAGAACCTATGGAAATTAATGAACAAGACTAAGTTAGGTCCTTTAATTCCAAGAGGTCCACTCTGAGTAACGCCCATCATGTTTTTTTAAAACACTGGCCACCACAAACCCTGCACAGCAGATGTCACGTGACAAGAGAACACATATTTTTGGGGTGGTAATAGTCATGCCTGCTGGCCCCACCCCAACTTATTCATGACCAGTAGGTCTTGTGAACACACCTGATATACCTACAAACAAACAGTACCCATGTAGGCCAGTTTGCACGATACCGGACTCTGCTGTTTGTAAGGATTGTGCATCCACAATCTATGCATGTTACATTTGTGTCTGCAGAACAGTCTGCTCACAATTTAAACTGAATGTGCATAAGCTGCGTTGGTTCTGACTGGGGCATGAGCTTGACCTCCACAAATAAGGCTCCCATGCAGCTTACAAAGGGACCAACTTGTACCATCTTCTTGTGTTTTAAGTAAACGCACAGTATATATACATCGTATTTTTCTGTCTCTAAGACGCCCCCTATTTTTGGGGACTCAGATTTAAGAAAATGGAGGGAGACACTATCGTGTATAAGATGCCCCTTAATTTTTGACATTATTATTTAGGGGAAAAACCTAGTCTTATACACGGAAAAATACAGTATATAATATGTAGTAATATATATTTCAGCTGGCACACATTCCGAAATTCTGCTTTAACTGGGGTGTGGACAGAGGTTGCCAGTTAATCTCCTCATGTTATCTTAAACTGACCGTCCTATTTCCTCCGTTACAGGATTGGGGAAAGGGTTCAAATTTCTAGGAGTCAGCTTGACAGTGCTGAAAATATATTCTGAAGATTTCCACAAGGATTCATCAAGTATCTGCGTCCCTGTGATTCAACTCCATTCTGTCGATCATTCTTAAATGCTTCTTACCTGGACTCATCGGTCGAATCTTTCAGGACCATTTGCCAGCTAACGGGGAGAAAAGCTGCAACAACCAGCCCACAAAGGTAAAGCCACTGTGTGTTCTTCATCAGGTCTTCTGCACCAAAACAAGCAAAGAAATGAACCAGAAATGGGATCATTGTTGTTAAAAGTTACATTTACCTACCAGTTTAGGAGATGACACAATGATGCATTTTTAAGGGTTCAAAGGAAAGGATGACTCCCCCGACTCTTAAAATGAGTTTGTAAACATCCAGATCATGATTCTATGCTGTATTTAATGTTAGCCACACTCAGAGTAGTGGATCGATAGGAATTATTATTTTTTCATATTTATTTATTTAGCATATGTGACTAACGTAAGTCCATAAATTTCAATGGGTCTCCTCTGAATAGAACTTATTTGGCCACAGCCTTCTGATTTTGAACGTTTGAACTTGCAGTTGGCACACACCAGCTAAGATAAAGAAGCTGATGTGAAGTTGATTTCATGCTGTTCAGTCAAATGAGGCTGACATAGCAATCCCAAACGCATGGAGACAGAGGAGTCCTTCCTCTCTAGAAAATGAAAATGGTATGAGAGAGAGAGAGAGAGAGAGAGGGAGGGAGGGAGGGAGACATCATTGTCCATGCTGTGCAGAGACTCACCTTATTGCCTTTGTTCACAAGTTTTTGTAGTTCTTCAGAAACCTGATTGGAGAAAACAGGCTTTTTTATAATAAAAAAGGAGGGGAAAGTTTTCAAAAACATGTTTTACAATATGAGGCGCTGCATATTGCCTCGATCTCTTTGGAAAGGAGTCTAACAAATCCAGCAAGTAAGCATAATGAGAAAATGTACGTGTACACTATGGGAAATTGTGGCTCTGTCGTTCCACCTTCTGTGCTCTTAAAAGCAGTCGCTTGTTCCTCCAGCCTTACTTGCAGCTAAGCACGCTTAAGACCACAGCGTCCATTTCAGTGCTTAGTGAGTTTGTTATTTGCATGTGTGCCTTTTTCATTTTAGTGGAACTTATTGATGCGTGCTTTTGCAAGCTATTCCCAGCCAAAGTGCCAACTATACAATGACATTTCAGAAATGTTTTGCTTTCCCCAATCTATTTCCTTTAAAAGAATGGCTGTTTGCACCTAGGATGATGTCTCACTTTGGATAAACTGAAAGCAATCACATTCCTTCATGACTTAGCTTAAAAAACCCGATATCTGCCTTTCCCCCCACTACTTTGAATGTAATAGAGACTTCCTACCCCTCTGTGAATTAGTTAATGCCTCATTTAAAGTGCTATAGATTGAGTCTTATACAGACGGATGGTGCTGCTGAAGAGAATATTGCTTACCTTCCAAAAGACGCAAGGTTCTCTTTAAATCCCGAGTCCTTTCTCTTTGTGAGCTGATTTTGTGGCTTAATGCTATTCCTTACCAGGGTTTTTAAGCTTGTTAGTGGAATGCTAAAAGATGACAGGTAGGTCATTGGTGTTCATGATTTTGGTTGGATGGGCCAGTTATGAATCATTACCGGATCTTTCTTTCCTTTTCTATTTTTAAGTGGGTCCATAGAGAAGATGTGACCATTACAGGACTCCTTAGCAGTGCCTTCAGCAAGGTTTTCTCCACAATGCTCAGGTGGATCAAGTCAACAGCATGCTTCTTCCTTACTGGAGGAGTGTGTGTGTGTGTGTGTGTGTGTGTGTGTGTGTGTGTGTGTCTCATTGTTGCAGGGCCACATCCTGTGTGAGCCTGAAGGAGTGATGTTCCAAACACCTTTCTCTTCCAAAACAACAAGAAGAGGGAAAGAGAGATAAAAGAACACACGCCACAACACCAATCTGCAACATTCAGAGACTACTGGGGGGACATTTCTGTCTCTCAGGATTCTGCTGCTAACATCTAAGGTTCCAGTATGAAGGTGAAAAGGGAGAATTCATTAGCAAATTCAAAGTGACTGCATTTGGACTCTCTAGATTGGAGCATCGTTTCCACCACAGAAGGTGAAACCACATAAGCCCTTCTTCAGGTGCTAAAATAGCAAAGCAAGGGAAATGATCTTAGTGGCAACTGGTTGGGAATGAGTCTCTTGGTTTGTATTCATTTGGAATTTATACAGAGATGTGATAGGCTTACAGCTATTCTTTGCATTTTGTGACTTTTGGGCCCCACTGTCCATAAACTCCCCCCACGCTCTATACCAAACTGCATATACCCCTTGACAACAAAGATTTATGCAATATCCAACGGATGAAATGGGCTCTCGTCTACAGAGTTTACCCACAACAAATGTGTTAGGCTTGAAGTTACCATAGGAATCTTGGTTCCTCTTATTGTAACTTGAAGATTCTTTCAGTCAAAGGTACTTTCCAATGACAGTGACTTTTGTATGTTCTGGAAAAGATGTTCTCCATGGATTATCAACATGAAACTTATATTTGATCAATCAACTAATTCACAAGAGTGGTCAGTTCAGTCTTGGAAGTGCTTTAGGCCACTCTAGTTACCAGTTGCCCGTGATCTGTCTCCTCTTCCTCTTCCCCTTCCCACCACACACACATACTGTGCTGGTCCTGAGGGTTAACCATGCAGTGAGGTCCGAGTCCAGTCCGAGGTCAAGGGTGCGGTATGGAGGCAGTCTGTCAAAGCTGAAGCTGGGTCCAAGGCAGGGAGTCGGGTGAGGTCAGGAACTCTGGCAGAAGAGCAGGACAAGGTGCAGGCAGGAACAGGCTACCAACAATATTGCTCCCACAACTTGGGACTGGGGCTAGCTGGCTTTTATCTGCCCCAAGGCATAGGGCGGCCCCGGTCCACAGGTGACTCGCCTCTCCTGGCCTGGAGGCAAGCACTCCTCTTGCAGGAACTTAGTTCCCTCCGCCTCTCTGCCCTGAGCTCAGGAGAGGCTGGAGGGTTACTGGACCCAGAGGCAACCTCAGCTTCCCCTGATGGGGCTGAGAGTGGAGCACCTGCAGGCAATGGGTCCTCCATCACCTCAGGAGCCAGAGCAGACTCAGCTGGTGCCTGCACCTGAGGATCCAGCATAGGTGAGGACCCTTCAGGCTCAAGCCCCAGCCCCAGCTCAGCTGGTTCTGGAGGCAGGGAATCCTGTGCAGGCTGGGATTCCTCAGGTTCAGCGTCCGAGTCTGAATCCCAGGTCATCACACATACTGAGAAAGTGAGAGAGGTAAGTGCACATTCCTTCAGAGAGAAGTTTCTCTTCCAGCAAAACATAAGCAACAAGAAGGACAGTGGAAGAATGGAACAGAAAAGAAGACAGGGAAAGACAACGTTCACCACCTGCAGGGTTACAGCCACCAGCCTGGAGCTCTCTCAACTTCATTGCCTGGCCCCATCCTGACATGGCTGCCACAGGGAGGATGCCACCGCCAGCGCCCTTCCCTCTATAGCAGGGAATGACTGCAAACCAATAATGGAAGCTTCTCCTGGCCCACTTAGAAAATAACAGGGAATATGAACAAATGGAGTTCCTTCAGCTTCATGTTGGCTGTGGTATGTGCAGGTCCAGCCATAACATTGGGCAAAGTAAGGTGATCACCTCAGGTGGCTGATGTCAGCAAGGGGCACACATGGTTATGTTACCACCAAGGAAGGGTAAGTGTAGGACAGGGGTAGGCAAACCAAGGCCCAGGGGCCGGATCCAGCCCAATCGTCTTCTCAATCTGGCCTGTGGACAGTCCAGGAATCAGTGTGTTTTTACATGAGTAGAATGTGTCCTTTTATTTAATATGCATCTCCGGGTTATTTGTGGGGCATAGGAATTCATTCATCTTTTTTTCCAAAATATAGTCCAGCCCCTCACAAGGTATGAGGGACAGTGGACTGGCCCCCTACTGAAAAAGTTTTCTGACCCCTGGTATAGGATAGCGCTTGTAGGCTAGTTGCCTGGCTAATCTTGGGTAATATATGCACCTTGATTTATGTGTGTGGAGTCGAGGGGGGGGAAGCCATTTGCTGCTCTGCCTTAGGCAGCAAAATGTTTGGGGCCATCCTTGAAGATTAAGAAGATAAGTGAAGCTGGAGATGCAATGAGGCTGAGGGTACATTCTATCATATGTGGTGGACTTGGTAAAAGAGTATTGGGAAATAATTTATAATGAATTGAAAAAATGTTTAAAATTACTTTTCCAAAAAACAACACAGAATCCTTTTTGTTGGGGATAATTCAGATGGAAATTCCCAGATGTCAAAAAAGGCTTATTTATGTATGCCACTACTGCAGCCCGTGTTTTGTTAGCCCCCAAATAGAAAACGAGTGAGTTCTCAACTAAAGAAGAATGGCAACTTAAACTGATGGAATATGCGCAGCTTGCGGGCCTAACATATAGAATAAGAGAACAAGAAGAACATACGTTTAAAGAAGACTGGGAAATGTTTATTCAATATATGGGGGGAAATTGTGTATACTTGAAAACGTTGGCAGCATTCAGATAAATTCAACAGTGTAAATAAGTTTTGATGGATGTAATAATGGAATACTAAATGGTTTATGCAGGGAATTATGGCATGCAAACTGAACCATGGAAAGAGAAGAAGGGAAGTCATTGATATTTTAAGGTTGTTTAAATAAATATTCTAAAATGTAAAATAGAAAAACTTAATAAAAATTATACAAAAAAAGAAAGAAGGTAATTGAAGAAGTGGTCCATGTTGGTTATGGAAGGTAAACCATAAGAACAGTCAACAAAGAAAGGCGGCCATTTTGTGGTGTCCAGAGTTAATGCCATCGAGAACCCAGAGCTCATAGCAAGGGAAAATGAGGGAAGAGCGGATCATGAGCTTTTTTGTTTGTTTGTTTAAAAAAGGTATTGTGTTGCCATTAATTATCACAAGGTGGCAATTTACCTGTTGTTCCCTGCTCTGCTCCTGGGCATTGCAGCCTGAGTGTTGCCACCTTCGGTCCTAGCCCAGAGACAGCCGTTCTGATTCTGAACTCCCCTGACATTTGCAGCCTGCACTTTTCATGCTAGACATGCTTCCATTCTTGCCAAGTAATTAGACTTTTCTCTCTAGCACTGAATTTATTTTAATACCCTTTTCAAAATACCACTTTCCAGGTGGGGCACAAGAAACCCCTGCTAATTGGG